TATATGGGCTTAGGACAATCTAAAGTAGGGAAGAGAAATATGTTCCAGGTTGAACCCGTGAATAATAATATCCAGAGTTCCAAACACAAGTACATCAGGTTAAATAAACGAGGTTTGGTTGATTGGAATAGGAGCAAATCAACATAGGGGAATAGGAGCAAATCAACATAGGGTTTAGGTTTTAAACACATTTCAGCAAAGTGCATGCGTTAAAACACTTCAACTCAAACTTGATATTGGCCTATCCCGACCCAATTACTAGCCATATTGGCACTTGTGCCACATTCTGAGCTTGGGGAAACTATCTAGGAGAAAACAAAAAACTTTGTTTTGCGAGATCTGAAGAAGACGGATTGCAAAGTAAAGAACCTTTGCCTTAACTATGATAAATATAACAACCTTTGCCTTTATTCAATAATGATATGAACCAGTAATAGGTATAATTAATGATATGATGTTAAGAGGAACAGGGAGTAGTAGCTAACAAAATCTACAAATGAGTACCTTTTTTATTTCATTTTGCTCTAATGTTTAAACACATTGGATTTCTTCTCTAGTTTAAAAGTCATTAAGGGTGTTTGGTTAGGAGGATTTTGGGGCAAAAAAAAAATTAGGGGTGTTTGGATTTGATCCAAAAAAAGAGGTTTGACTATCTCAAACTTCTAATGTGAGTGCTTAGTTGAGACTTGAGAGAGGATTGAAAGAGTTTTGAATCCAAAAGCTAATTTAGAAAAAGCTAGTAATAGAAGGTTTTTTAGTGAGAAGTTTGTGGTAGTTGGGAAATGACTCTTTAATCCTAAAGTTAGTCAAATCAACTGCAATTAAGTTAGCTCAAGCTTATGCATAATAATAAAACATGCACACCTCCTAATTAGTCATTCTACACAATAAAGTAGCTAACAACCGAGTTATTTACCAAACACTTTTTTTTTAAGAAGCAGCTAGTCAAATTAGCTCATACAAATAGCTGACACCTAACCTCTCATTGCCACAGAGGGCCATTATATGTCTCTGCTTTCTAAGGTCACACATATGGTGTCAAATAAGTAAAATATATAAAACAAATTGAAGGCAGCTTACTAGATAAGATGTATCCGAGGACGTTGATCCATAAGGTCTTTGGACATAGCTTGGCACCACAGAAAGCCGAAAACGAGTAGGGGCATGACGATGAGGTGTTACAGGTTTTACCATAGTTACCGGTTCATAGGAAAGAGGCGGATGATGAAATTTGCAGGACATCCCAAACTTGCACTTCCCTGTTGCAATGTAGTACTTACACTCTTGCTCCCCCTGAGAAGTTAACAAACATGAGGGCTCCACAAAAACCTTTGCTTGACTCAACAACTTCCAGAAAAATAATACAGGTTAAGCTTTTCGCTACAAAAAGAAAAGGGCACACACACCGGACGTAAGGGGTACCCTTGTTTGTAGGGTGCAAATGGCTTGGGATGATGGTATTTACAGGATGTGCCATGTTTGCAAATCCCAGTCTTCATATAATACTGCAAATGTTTCACAGCCCACAGAAGAATATAAATATAAAACACAGAGTAATAAGCGCTTCAAAGAAAACAGTGCAAGGAAAAATTACAAAGTACTTTGCAGGTACAATATAACCATTCACTGCCACTTAATTATAAAACTTGAATAATGTAGTACCTCACATATTGGCTGATCAGATCTGATTGGTAAATCTTCTCCATTGACATGCTTATTTCCCTGAGCAATCAACAAGTTCCGGGTCATTGATACTACTAAATTTCAATTATCATATATTTTATAACAATGAAAAATAGAAAATAAAGTGAAAGTAGTTGACCAATCTTTAACCGAAATTACATTACTAAAAATTTAAGGAGAACATCCATCATGTACCTAGGTACACCTAAAGCTAGGTTTACCTAATTTGACTTACTTTGTCTGGTCATTTATCATTTTAACTCATCTAGTAAAAACTAACTTAACTGCGAAACCCAAACCTAACCTAATTATCAAACAGGTTGGAAACCTCAACCTGAAACAAACCTATTTATTGAGTAAGCTATTCAATGATTTTATTCATCTTCTCCTCTCTTCTATTGGTTATCAAATCCATTCATTAACAAACTAAACAAACAAATTCACTTAAAAGTATGCATAAATGCATTATAACCTCGATATTTCTTAAATTTTAATTATTTTCACAATTGCTAATATAATTTTTTTTTGGACATTAATAAGCAAACAAGCTAAAGGTGTTAGTCGTGTACTTGTGTCAACCCATATATTACAATCAGTTGAAAAATCTCATCCCTCACCCGCTATTCTCAAAATTAATAATTCCTATCTGGGTCAATTTTTTGGTGTTTCTCAGCCACAAGGGCATATGATGAGAATCGATCCAAAAGAGCTATCCCTCACTCTCCTATCTGGGTCAACTTTGCTCAACTCTATTTATGAGAGTGTGAACTTACACTACATAATTTATTTTGCAAATTTATCTGAACTTACATTAAAAGAAAGCATCTTTACCCATAACATGCTCATATGGAACTATGGAAGATTCAAATTCAAATGAGTAAAGATAATCAAACAATCAACCTCTACATACATCGGGTACAACATAAACTTTGTTATGAATTAAGGTAATCAAAACACATTGCAAAATTCAAAATAACATCTAAACCAAAACTTAATACAATTATATACTAAAATAAACAAATAATTGTTGAATTCAGTAACAATTTACCAGTGAAGTAGAAGGAAGATGAGGATGATTGAAACGACAACGATCGCCAAACCCACAACTCCCATTCCTCAAATAGTACAAGCAATCGGGCTCACCGGGCCTCTCCGGGTAAACTGAACCCACCGGATGACTGAAACGACAACGACCGCCATAACTGCAGTAGCCGGTCCTCAAGTAATGGTTGCAATCGGGCTCACCGGGCCTCTCCGGGTATAATTGACCCTCACCCTCTAATACAAACTTCAATTTTGGTTCTACCATTGTTCTTTGTTACTAAACCCGAACCCAAACCCAGATGAAGATGGATGAAACAAAGAGGATCGGCATATTTTCCGGGCCTCGAATTATGCATGCAATCGGGCTGACCACCGGGCCTGTGTTGAAATTTGAGAGCTTAATATGCTGGAATTGGAAAATGCCATGCTTGAGCCTTTTTCTTTCTACCAAAAGCTAAATCTAAGGCAAGCAAGAGCATCCACTGAGAATACATACATGTAAAGCAACCGGTCAAAACTTTACCTTTTACTCCGTAGTAGTTACTAGTTAGTACAACGAAGCTTCTTTTAGCAACGGAGTTAAGATAACAAAACGGCTCTATTTTCAAAAAAAAAAAAAAAAAAAGGAAATAGATTCAATAGAATACTAGGTTAACCCCGTGCAAGGTTTAAAATAAGAATTAAATTATAAACATTTGACACATATTGAAAAAAAATAACTACTTTAGGACTTGTTTGGCATCAGTTTTGGTTTTAAGTTTTCTGTTTTTTTTAAAACCAAAAACAGGAAACAGGAAACAAGAAAAAGGTGTTTCCACTTTTCTGTTGTCAGTTTTCAAAATTATCATAATTTTAACAAGTTTATATAATTTTTGATTCATTATGGGACACATATAATATACTTTTAGAAAACAAAAAACTAAAAAACAGAAAACCATAGTGGTGCCAAACGAACCCAGTTTTCCTAACTAATTTCTAATTAAATATGAACACACAGATTTCAAAAGTGCATAATTTTTATATTTAATTAGGAAATTTCAATTAAAATTTATTATTAAATATTGTTAATAACTCGTAAATAAATAGCATAATATGTGTAGAAAACATAAAATTTAAAATTAAAAATTCAAATGGAATATAATTTTCAAAGCAAGGTTAAATAGAGTAGCTTAAAAAGGGGAAAAAAACATATGACATCATCATTGTATTTTGAAGGGAAAAAATTAAATAAAAAAGTGTCATGTAGATAGTGATGACATAAACAGTTGTTATTTTAGTATATAATAGATTAGTATAACTTTTAATTAAAAAAAATATTATATTAAAAGAAGAGTAAATATAGTATCAAATACACTTTCTGTAATATTTACGCAGTAAAAAATAAATGTAAGTACTCTACAAGTAGTAGTACCTATTAGAGTGTACCAAAATGTTGTTTTTACTATATTTTTTCTCTCGTTCCACGTGAATGAAATTATGACGTCTCTCATCCTTTTTAACAAAATGTCTAACAAATACTCCATATGTTTTTAAATATTTACTTTATTTTTTTTTGGACAAGTATGCAGTACATAATCTTTGATCATTAATATCTTTAATTATCAATAACTATAAATTCTAACAATTGAAAACTAATAATTTATTCATTGAAACAATTTCAACAAATATCTACAAAAATACTCCCTCCGTTTTTAAATACCTGCTCCACTTTTCTTTTTTGTCCGTTTTTAAATACTTGCTTCATTTCATTATTTGGAAAACTTTTACAATATTTAATTTATTTCTCTCACCTATTGGACCCACCATTAATCATATTTTATTACGGAGTACTCCGTAATTTCATGTTCTCTCTTTTCAAATTCTCTCCACTACTTTTGCTTTTTACAACTTTTTATTATTCCACTTACCCCACTATCTTCATATTTTATTACTTTTTCTAATTTCTCTTAAAACTCCACACATTGAGAAATAGCGCGCATGGAGAAATGGAACAAGTATTTAGTATTTAGCTTAGGCTATGGGCTTCACATTTATATTGACTTTCCTAATACAAAAGCAATTAAGTCACTTCTTTTTTTCCTTTTTTTTTTTTTTTTGGATAAAACAATTAAGTCACTTCTATTTTATTTAATCTTCTGCTTTGCGATGGAGATACTTTTCCAGATTTATAAATTTCATATCAACCTCATAATCAATCCACATTAGCTGCATCTCCTGAGTGAATTACTGAATTCCTCCAAACATGTACTAGATAGATGTTCATCCCAAACAAGTGAATAATTGGTCTTAATTAGATAAAGTATTATTTAATTGCAACAACTCCAGTGAACTTGTTTAGGCGCTCTAGTAACAATGAGCAGAAATTTTAGGAAATAATACGAGTGTATGTCTTACTCTAGCAAAAGAATGTCATGAGGATTACCTTCTAGGAAGGACAATATCATGCACCCTAACAATATTTGTTACAACAACATAACTAAATACGCAGTGAAACTCCAACATAAGATAAATTTATATAGTATGTCCACCAGAATACTTATTCAATTGCTGCAAAGTTTCCCCAAATCAAAGAAATAATGCACATATTTAGCCAATGTCCAATGTATGGCTCTTCTGTCCAATGCCTTAGGAGCTTCAGCTATATTTGTAAAAGGGAGGCTCGGTTGACTTGGAAAGTTTTGACAACGAACAAAGACATGCTATATGGCCTGAGACTTTTCAATCAACAGAAATAATAATTTTCATCAGTTGCGAGCTAGTACAATGAAGGACGCAAATCAAGCTAGCTACTACATACCATTGCACATTTATTTCTTGGGACACAAAGAAAACAGGAAATTGACTAGTTAGCACAAATTGTTTACTGAATATTTATGGACATTCAGATTGCAACTCAACTAATTATATTCTCAAATTTCATTACATATTCAATGATGACAAAAAACTCTCAAAAGTAAAGCACTTTACTCACACTTTGATAGCTTGAGTATATATAAAACCTCCTCATACTTAAATTGTATGAAACTGAAGGTTGGCTTAAATTCAACTCAACATATTTATACTACACTGCCAAGATGATCATCAATCACATCAAGAAATAACTGAATAACACAAAACACAAGGATATGCCTCACAGTATTTTTAGAGTTTAAAATCCATTTTAGCAACCTTAACTTGGCAGTAGGCACGCAACTGATAAAGTCGTTAATGCTGGCTGCTCCTAACCAAATTCATAGAACAGTCCAAGCCAAGCAAACCAACAAACTAAATTGATTTTTAAATTTTATCTTCTTACTTAATCAGGCACACAGATACAAAATTGGGGGACTAGTAGCTTCTTGTTTAAATATAAATCATTTAACAATCGTGCCACAACTTTTTATATACTTATAAGGCAGCATATACCTTATACTAAGTTTCTAATATGAAGTATTCAAAAACAATCTTGGGAGGGTCAGACCCCCGCCAGCTCAAACCAAGATCCACCCCTAAGCCCAGCCAACAGATCAACAGACAAACTCAGGTGATAATCCAGGATCGATCAACTTTAATTAGGCATGCAATTAATGTATTTAAATATATTTAAGACCGAACTCAGACAAAAAAAAATAAGTAGCCATGACTGATATTGAATCATTAATCAATTTCAATCATCAATACAATCTATACATGAACGATAAATAAAATAAGATGCACTCAATGTCTTACTTCTCTGTAAAACATTGTCTTACTTTTCTGTAAAACGTTGCATAGACTATCATATACTTCGTAGAAAATAAGAAATAAACAATATACCTGCTTTTTGTGTATATACTCTGCTTCCCCTGCAAAATAAGAGAAAAACAGGAAGTTAAGACCGACATAATCCTAAAGTACATGTTAACTAATAAGTATAAATTTTGAAAAGAAAAAAATAACCTGTGTGCTAATCCCTCAAAATGAGTCGGCTAAATGCTCCAATGTTGTCCTTGACAAGTTGATATCCCTGAATCAATTCGCTTTAGTAAGACTAGGCTGAAGTTTGGTCATTTACAACAAAAAAAGTAAAGGTTTGAAGGTATGTAGCAACATTTATATTTTATACACAAGTAATATTGCAGCTAGAATAATACCAACCTGGTAAACAATGTTTTGATGTGGCCGAGTAGGCAGTGTTGGGACATTATTGGCACCCGATGTTGGGATCCTTGTGTCATCAATCTCTACATATGGAATACAATCTACCTTCTTCCAATCTTCACATTCAATAGCACATCGATCTTTGAGTAAATTACTCTCTCTTATCTTGAGTGACTCGAGAGAAGGAGGTAGCTCTGGCAATGATATCATTGTTGGACAACGTTCAATCTTTAATTCAACTAATGAAGTAAGATTCTTGAGTGAAGGCAAGTTGATGAACTCAGGACAATTCTCAATTTTGAGAATTCGAAGGCGAGGCATGTCATTTACTTCCAATCCTGTCCAATTCTGAAGTTTTACCAACTTCTTGAATGTCAGTGATTCCAATGATGGAAAATAGACGTCCGTAGTAACACTGGATGTTCCACAAAAGCAGCGATCCACAGCTGTTACACTGGAAAATTCTTCAATGACAAGAGTCTTAAGAGTTTGAAGCTCACCAAGTGCTGGCAAGATCTCACATGATGGACATTTCATCAAGTGTATCTTTTGAAGAGGATGTCCCAGTTTCTCATGGTGATTCTCACATGGCATTTTCGTAAATAAACCAACAACTTTATTCAACTGTGGAACCCACAATAATGAAAAAGTTGTTGATTTATTCACGAAAATGCCCCCATGAGAAACAAATTTCGTATCTCACCATGAGAAACAGGGAATTTCCCTCTTTTGAAGGCTTCGCGATGGATCACAAATCCATTCCGGAAACAACTTGCCAATGTATTTTATTATATGCAACTCTCTCAAACAAACATGAGGTTCTAGGCCATCGAGTACATCATCGGCAATAGTTGCATCCACCAATCTCATCCATTGCAATACTATTTTTTCTAGCAACAACTTGTTGCTAAACATGGCCTCCTTTGCCATGGCTCGATTTTGGACATAGTCAAGATGTTGGATGCAAATTGACCCTTTAAGACAATTCATATTCTTCAACTCTGAAATACAATATCCTTTAAGACTATCACCCACAATGAACAGAGGGAGGGTCTGAAGGCTACGAAGGTTTCCAATGTGGGATGGTAGATGAAGCCGATTTATGTCACTTGAAAATTTGATTTAAATAATTCAACTTTTGACGTATTTATTTTTAATAATCCAACCTTTAGATTATTCCTGAATAATCCAAGCTTTAGGGGTTATTCTTTTTTATCATGCCAATATGACAGATTACCTTCTCTTTAGGCAATTTTTTAAACATTATTTTCTTTTACAATTTTTTAACAAAAATTAAATTTTAAAAATAAAAAAGTAAAAAAAAAAAACACCCCAACACCAGCCCCCACCCCTTCCCCCACCCCTTCCCCGAAAAACACCCTACCCCCTCCCTCACTCGCTGGGAAATAACCTCTACCCCTGCCTTCCACCGCCGCCGGAAGTCGCCGGAAAACCCACCTGCATCAACTACAACTTCAAACAATACACACCAACGTAGCTCCTCAGCTCCACCATCGCCATGACGCCACCCATCTACAGAAATCGGCCACCTTGCCCCTGGTGCATCTCACAACATCACCTCCCACAGTCACTGCAGAAGCGCAACTCAACCACCAACTCCGCCTAACCATCAATCATCCTCCATTCAATTGATTACCTCCATAATAATTCCCGATATAACCCAAAATTCTTCTTTCCCACAATAACCAACCCAAAATTCCAAATCAAGTCCCCTAGGATCGATTATTTTTGATAAAAATATTGAATATTTAAGGCAGCTCTATTCTTGATCTTGCAAAACTCTAATCAAATTGAGGGTAAATTCTAGGGTTTTGAAGATCAAAGATTTCCTGCAAATTGATGGAAATTGAAACAGAGAGAGAAAGAAGAGGGAAGAAGGTCGGGTTTTCGATGGTTTTGGGAAAAATTCGTCCGGACACCCACAAGATATGCTACGAAAACCACTCCAAACACCCCGAAACACAAAAATTGGCGGTGGGGTAGGGGTTTTTGATGGTTTTGAGCAAGGCTTTGGGGGAGGATGGATGGGTTTTTATTCTGGTTTTACGTGATGGTGGTGGGGTTTTTTGGGTTCGAGGGTCAGGAAGGTTGGAGGGTGTTTCTTAGGGGTGAAAGTTCGGTGTTCGTTTTGGTTTTTGGCCCAAACCAAAACCGAACCACCTTAATTCGGTTTCTTGATTTTAGAAATCACACCGCACCACTTTACTTTAGAAACCGAACCAAACCAAACCATATTTATTTCGGTTTCAGAATAAAAAATCGAACCAAACCGATTTTTTAGGGCCTCCTTTATTTGGGCCAATAATCTGCAAATTAGGCCTCATTAATCAACACACTAAGTCACTATTCTCACTAACACAACAAGCATTTGAGCTAGCATTCATTTTCCTTCTCAAATACCCAATTGCAGTATCATTTGAGCTAGCATTATCAACAGTTATACACATGACTTTTTCAAGCCCCCAATCAAGCAAACATTTTTCAATTTCTTTGCCAATATCATCACCCTTATGACTAGAAATAGGACAAAAATTCAGAATTCTTTTGTGTAATTTCCAGTCATTATCAATGAAGTGGACAGTCAAGCACATGTAATTGATTTGTTGTATAGAGGTCCAAGTATCAGTGGTTAAAGAAACTCTTGAATTACATTTCTTTAATTGATTTTTCAGCTTTCTTTTCTCAGTTAAATAAGTTTCAAAACAATCTTTTGCTACTGTAATTCGAGAAGGAACATTAAATCTAGGTTCCATTACACCACAAAAGTGTCTAAAACCTACACCTTCAACAAACTTAAATGGAAGTTCATCAACAATTACCATATACGACAAAGCTTTTCTAATACTACCAGCATCAAATTTGTGGTATGTCAACCCACTAGTACCACGAGCAGCACTTGTTACTTTAGCACTTTTGAATGAAAGCAAACTTTGTTTTGAATCTTTAGGGGTGCTATAGGGATACTTACGACAACGGTTAATATGAGCCCATAACACACTAGTGCCGTTTTTCTTTGCCCCGCACTTTTAGCTCATCCCACAATACTTGCAAGTTGCCTGCCTTCCAGAAGGTAAGTCTTCTTTCACAAAATGCTCCCAAACTTCAGACCGCTCTTTCATCCTCTTCCTTTTTACACCTTCTTTTTTGTTACAGTCAGATTGGTCAGTCTCAGGTTCGAGTTCAGGGTGGTCATTGACACCCACATTGGTTGCCATTGGCCTAGGACATAAAAAAACAGCAGTATAAGAGCAATTGAACATGCAGAATAACAGAAAGTTAATAAAGGAAGAGGATGAACATGCAGTAGCAGTCTAGCAGCCTAGCAGAGTAATAGCAAAGCAGAGTAATAGCAAAGCAGTAGCACAACAGCAGAGTAATAGCAAAGCAGTAGCAGTCTAGCAGAGCAATTGAACATGCAGAACAGCAGAAAGTTAATTCCCACAAATTGTACATGCAGTACCAGAGAAATTAAGCAAACTAAAATTCCCACAAATTAGCACAAACTAAAATTCCCACAAATTAGCACAAACTAAAATCGCAATTCACAAATTAAAATCGCAAGTTAAAATCGCAATAGCAATGATTTAAGCAAGTAAAATCGCAAGTTAAAATCGCAAATTAAAATCGCAAGTTAAAATCGCAATTCACAATTGAACATGCAGTAGCAACGATTTAAGCAAGTAGCAACGATTAGTAGGAGAAGACAGGAGAGAGCAAGTAAGTAGAGCAACGATTAGCAGAGCAAGTAGTAGAGCAAATTAAAATCGCAAATTGAATTCGCAAATTGCATAGTGCATACCTTAATTAGTAGGAGAAGACAGGAGAGAGAGAAGCAGGTGGACCGTGGACGATGGTCGCCTGGTGCCCTGGTGTACTGGACGGTGGTCAGAGACTCAGAGGAGACAGGAGAGGGGACGAAAGAGTGGAGAAAGGCTGAGAGGATTAGAGGAATTAGGGTTTTTTTTATTTTTCATTATATACCTAGGGTATTTAATTTTGGGCCAGGCAGGGGTTTTGTAGGATTGGGCTTATAATTCGGTTTTGTTCGGTTTTTCAATTTCCCGAACCGAAAACCGAAATTTTTTTATTTTTGACACCGAAACCGAACCACCCTCCCAAAAAACCGAACCACATTCCTTATACGGTTCGGTTTTTCGGTTCGGTTCGGTTTTACACCGATTCACTTTCACCCATAGTGTTTCTAGGTGTCGTGTTCCTGGGTTTGTGATGGTGCTGCCGGTGGTGGGACTTCGATCTGGTGGTGGGTGCCGATGGTGAGTCTTCGATTTGGTAGTGAGTTTGGGGAGGCTGGCTGCTCTAAGCTTGAGTGGATGAAGGAAGGGGAAGGGGAAGGGGAACTGAAAAAAAAAATAAAGTTTTTTTAAAAAAAATGAAAAAAATAAATAAATTAGGCAAATCAAAATGTGACACGTGGCAAGGTAACCTACTATTGTAGGTTGGTGACCGATTTGGATTTATAAAATAGAATACCACTTAAAGCTTGGATTATTGTAGAATAATCAAAAGGTTGGATCATTAAAAATAAATACGTCAAAGGTTGGATTATTTAAATCAAATTTTCCTTATTACTATTAGATATTTAAAGATTTTTCTAACATTTTATTTTATTGTTTTAACATATATTTAAATGTGTTTTAATACCGGTTTAATTGATCCAATTTTTTAATATATTTATTTTATTATTATTATTATTATTATTCAACACCCGTACATTGTACGGGATTTAACCTAGTGAAGTATAAAATCCATTCCAACAATAAACAAAATAACTTTGAGATAGCATGAGTTTTAGAATACATACCTCTCTAATATGTGATCCCTTACTAATCCATTCCAACCCCCTTAAGTTTCTTGAATTACGCAGGACCAAGAAGAAAATCTTTGCTCTCTTTGCCCAACCCGTTGGAGTCGCCTTCTAGATCCAATGCCTTAAAAATTTATCTTGATGGACAAATCCACAAGCTTTCTCCAAGTCAGGCAAGTACATTTTACTTCTTAATTCTTTTGCTCACATGTTGAAATGATTATTAACTTAGATCTTGTTTAGTTCAACTTATTTTTACTTATTTCAGATTAAATAATTTCACATCAAATCAAATCAAACTAAATAAGTTTAAATCAGATCAGAAAAAATAAGTCCAAATCAAATCAAATTAATATGTTCAGATCAAATCATCGATTTATGAGTGGTTTTTTATCACTAAATATATTTAATTACGTAATGAAAAAATTATAAAAACTACACATTAATACGAATCTAATAAGACAATATTTGATATATTTTATTTTTCTTTATAAATTATCGTATACATAAGGTCTTTGGTCTAATCATACAATCATATCAAACCATATATGTTACACCTAGGGATGTCAATGGGGCGGGGCAGGGCGGGGCGGATGTTGGCATTCCCATCCCCATCCCCTCCTAATATTTTCATCCCCATCCCCATCCCCATCCCCGCAGCGGGTCCAATTTTCATCCCCATCCCCGCCCCACCGGGTACAACTCCAAAACCATCCCCGCCCCAACCCCCACTTGGATATCCATCCCCACCTAATCCCCACCAAAGACCCGCCTAATCCCCACACAAGATCCACCTAGTATCTGCATCTCAAATACACAATCTTACATAATTAATACGAATTATAAAATAAAACATTCTATACACATTTTTGTGTTATAATATAAGTGTCGTACAAAATATTATAATTAATATTGTATTTCATGTAATTATTTTATAAATAGAATAAAAGTATGTAATTTTGCTTTAAAAGATATATAGATATGGGTATGAGGTGGGGATGGGGCGGGTACGAAGTGGGGCGGGTGGGGCGGGGCGGGGATGGGGCGGGTACAACTTAAAATCCACCCCCGCCCCATCACCCATGGCGGGAATGGTTTTTATTCCCATCCCCGCCCCACCACCCGCCAAACCGAGACCTATCCCCGCCCCATTGGGGCGGGGATGAGGCGGGTCTCCTACTTGACCCGCCCCACTGACATCCCTAGTTACACCCCCGATTTACTAACTAATAATAAACAAGAATTAAAGGAAAGATATATAAACAACCTTTAAATAAAATTGCGGAAGCATACACCTAAATCGGAGGTATTACTGCCACACTCGACAACATGTCAAGTGTTAAGGCTTTCAAAATCACAATAATTACAACCCAATAAACTAGGTGAGCTATTTGTACAACTTTATAAACTCATTATAGCATATTAATCGAAACACTTTAGCTCCTTTATATACGATCGCTTGCTTAATATGCTTAGAAAAACATGACTGCTCACCATTAAGGATAAATTCCAAAATAGATAGTCGCAGGACCACCATAAGACAAAGACATGGCCGCAAACACAAGTAGCACAACAAACAAACACACACACATAGAGTATAATAGGATAATCAACATTACTAGCTTAATTAAATAATGTAGTTTAAAACTACATTGTACTTTGTAAGTAACCTTTGTCAAACCCAACCTCGAATAATAAAACAAACTTTTATTTTACTCATTTGTCCCATAAATGTGCCACGCTCTTTGTTTTATACCTAGCCTTGGACATGGGTAATTCGAATAACAAACCAACAAGTATAAAAACTTGAACACTCTCAATAACTAGAAAATACCTTGAACCAGACCACATACGAGCCAATTCCCACTGTAGGGGACAATTGAAAAATAAATAATAAAGATTGTACCTCATTCTTAACTCATGATTATCATCTCCTTACCAACATGCCAAGGACAACAAAGGTCTATAACGTCGAGCCTCAAATCAAAAACAAAATAATAATGCTCAACCTTTTGATCTCATACGTCAATCAAATAACCATTCACAATATAATAGATAATATCTCAATAATGGCACATGTTCCCAAATAACATAACAATTAAAACTCATTTCAATCATGGTATATCTCAATTCTTATAAGGCAATAATAGTACCCAAAATTAATTAACTCACAACCCAAAAATATTACTCTGCATTATTAATAACCCTAAAACCTTGATAAAACAATACTCCCTATAACTACAACATTAAAAACCCTAAAATTAACACAATTAATGTAATCAATAATACAACAATTAAATCATATATCACGACATATTTAACAATATATGCAATAATTGATCATATAAATAACAAATTTTATAAACTTACACATAATAATAATACGAATTATAACACAATCAACTCCAAGAAAGTTCGTGTGATTACCTTCCGACTAGTTACAATCGGACCACAACATTTAAGACAAAGTATTTGCACTGACGTTGCAATTTGTGGGCTTTGATTTTACAAATTCAATGTAGTTTGGAGAATGAAATTGAATGGAGATGGGAGAATAATAATGAAAGAAAAACTTTAATGAAAAATTAATTTTTGGAATTGGATCATGGAATTCACGCACAAAAGGATTTCGACAAACTCTTTTTTTTTTTTTTAATAAAATATCTTTTGAGGGTTAATAGTATTTACTCCTATCTAAAAAAATAGGGTTTTTAAAACTTTACAAGCTCTAAATAAAAAAAATATGAGATTAGAAAAGTTATATATTAAATGAAAATAAACTATATTTTAATAAAATTTATTATATAAAATCGTAAAATATTCGGGTATTACAATATCACATCAAATCATACTATATTTGATCAAATTAGCATAAATAAGGTAAACTAAATAAGCCCTCATTTAGGGGTGGTATTAGGATTGGTGTGGGTCAATCATTAGTTTTTTTTGTTTGCCAAAAATATTAAGTCAACATCGTTAATTTCGAAAAAGTAAGTTGAGGTTTCATCTTGTGAAAAAATTAAGTTTGTAGTTTTATCATAAAGTGGAAACGATAAGATCTTTATGAATAAGGAAATTTTGTGAAGAACTACCCTAAAAATAGTTGTTTTGTGAACAAATATATGTTTTTTTCTACATACCCCTAAAATGACAAATGTTTGTTTAGCAAATAGCAATACCTATTAACGGATTTCATCCAATTGAGCCGTTCGCAGGGCCTACTCCTATGGTTTCCAACCCGATGCGGAACATCACACATATCATAAAATGTATAAATAAAAAAGTGCTTATATTTGTCTTTGCATATGCTTGCCTTTGACACATCTGCAATGTCAACCAGGAGCCTAATGCTTCAACGTCCTCGCACTTGCATCAGAGCGATCCATATTTCATTGTGAAATCACGAATGAATAGAGCAACAGGTATTATTATCCAAATGTTAATACGAAGTATATTTTCTGTTCATTTATTTCAAGATTGATGTAGATGGTTACCAAGAAAGTAAGATTCTTGTAGATTAACAAATGTAGTACTCGTATATTTAGTTTGCGGTTTGCCTAAAAGTTTGTGAACAACCTTAGTTTATTATGGAAAAATTGTCGAAAATCACTTTTTATAACATTTTCTTTGAAAAAATACCTAATAATTTTTTTTTTGGTGAAGTAATACATCTAAAATCATTTTTTTTTTTTTTGCAAAGTAATACCTTAACCGGTTTCCGGTGTTTGACTTGGTTTTCAGGCATTGACCCTCACGTGAGTCGCACGTGGTCCGGTAAAAACCTTTCTTTCTTAAACTTTTGCCAATTTTCCCCTCCAATTGAACTCCCTCTCTCTCCAATTGAACTTTCTCTCCTCTCTTTTATTTCCAACCAATCCTCAATTACTTTTTCATTGAAGAAGGAAACTCCTAGCTTAAATTGCAAACCATAGAAAGATGAAAACTGAATTAGTGTTTTAGACAAATGTAAGCACTAATTAACAACAATACCATAATGATTGGACGAAAGTGCTTACATATGTCAAACTCCATTGTTTAATTAACACTTTTAGACACTATAAAACACTTTTGACCAAATTTTAGATACTTTTAGGGCCTGTTCATATTTACTTAATTTCACTTCAATTCAGTTCTTAATTTTCCTCTCTCATAAAATATTCATTTTAGCTCAATTCAGTCCAGTTCAGTTCAGTTGTGCTCCAATCAATTCAGTTCAGTTCAGTTCAGCTCCAATCAGTTCAGTTCAGTTCAGCTCAGTTTAGTAAATGTGAACAGGCCCTTAGACACTTTTAGACACTTTTGTCAAATCAATGGATTCAATAAAAATTGTTTACATTTGTCAAACTTCATTGTTTAACATGTCTAAAATTGCAAACCACAGGAAGATAAGCTGGTTCAATTTCTAAAATTGCTTGATAAGTTTGATGGAATTTTAGATCTCCTTAAATTAGTGTTTTGAGGGTGGTAATGACTAATGAGTTGGAGTGGGTGGCAGTGAGGTGGTAGGAAGGTGGTGTTGGTGGGGGCGGTAGTGAGGTGGTGCTGGCAGTGAGCTGGTGGGGGTGGTGAGGTAGTGTCGGTGAGGGAAAAGGGAAAAATAATAATAAAGGAAGGTAATTTTATGAGATCACGTGACTCACGTGTAAAAGTCAACGCCAGAAAACCAACTCAAAGACCTGAAATTGGGTCAAGGTGCTATTTTGTAATAAAAAAGAATAATAATAATATAAAATTGTTTTAGGTGTGTTTTTTCAAGAAAATGTTTATAAGGTGTTTTTTTATCCAAAAAAAAAGTTTTATTTTTTATAAAAGGTGATTTCTGACAATTTTTCCTAGGTAATAAATTAGTCTATGTAAACTTGGACATATAATGACTATCTAATGTGTCAACTTATGTATGTAGGACTGCTGATTAATCATAATTATTGGCGCACTGTAGCATTGGTTTTTAAAGCAATAATGAGGATGAAAACTATTGTTAGCTTTGGGTGGAAGCAGATAAAGCTTAACTGTTATCTCTTCCCCAATGATTATGAGTTCGAGAGAGAGAGACATTAGTCCACTTATGGATGGCTGTGGGGTTTTTAGGAAAGAAAGACATGGAAAATGTTGGAAACATAAAATTTGATATTCTTTTAAAGAGAGTACATCTTACAAGCAAGAGTTGATATTTTGACCGGAAGAAATAAGTACATAGTTAATTTTGACAAGCTTACAACTTTTCTAAATGGGATGCAAACCATCAGAAGTAAGGATATATGTGCCATGTTAGAAGATGAAATTGCATCAGTGGTTGTATCTAAGTCTTGGCATGTCTCAATCGTGTCTAATCACATTGATCAAGCAACGTTTGAGACACTAAAGACTTTCAACGAATTGAGGACACTTTTATTTGTTCGCAATTATGGTTCTTCTCTCAAACAGATACCATCAGATTTAATTTGTTTGTTGCTTTGAAGTCTATACAAGCACTTGATTTAAGTGGAAGCCATATAATTGAGCTGCCAAGTTCTATAGGGAATGTGGTACATTTATGTTACCTTGATCTTTCGTTTACTTTAATTGAGAGTTTACCTGAATCCATTGATCAGCTTCATCAACTGCAAACCTTGAGACTTGAAGGGTGTACGCATTTATATAACCTTCCTGATGGAATGAAGGTGCTAATTGGCCTTCGTTATTTGGATTTTGATGTTTTGGGCCAGCTAACTTGTATGCCCAAAGGTGTAGGAGCTCTTACCGAGCTTTGCACACTATCAGCATTCATTGTAGAGTCTGGAGAGGGTTGTACCATTAGAGAACTTAAGTACATGAATAACCTTAAAGGAAGTTTTTGTATTTCTGGTTTGGAAAATGTGGCTGATCATGAAGCCCAAACAACTACTTTATCTGATAAAAAGTACCTTACTCGGTTGCAACTAAGATGGAATGACTTCAAATCTTACGATGATCAAAAGCGAAGTGACATATTTTGGACTACTAATTATCTTGAGCCAAATTCATGTTTGGAAGAGTTGCAAATATTATATTATCCTGGCTTAAAATTGCCACCTTGGATAGGCTCTCCATTGTTTAAGGAGCTTGTTAGTATAACCCTCCTCAAGTGTGCAATAAAAGAACTCCATACCAAATTAGGAAAGTTACCGACTCTCAGGTATCTGAATATTACTTTCATGTACGAATTGACAAATATTGATTACAGGGTTCATAGGTATTATGGTGAAGATCCCGGCAGTTTTCCTAAATTGGAGGCACTACGAATTGATGGCATGCCTAAATTAGCAACTTGGGATGGAGTATGTTATGGTGATTTTCCACTTCTTACGGAGCTTGTTGTAAGGCAATGCCCCAAGCTGAGTGTGCTTCTGTTTCTTCCACATCTTCCCTCCTTGAGGCATCTAGAAATAAGCCACTGCAAAGTGCTGAAATCTCTGTCACATGGACCAACATTGTCAACGTCACTAGAAACTCTTGTAATAGATGCTTGTCCTTTGTTGAAAAAGAGATACATGAGGGGAGGTGAAGGCTGGTTCGAGATTGAATATATTCCAGATATAACAATTGATTTGAAAGATGTTCGTTCTACTCAAGAAGATGGTGCTGATGATGATACTTCGTCTGCAGGTAACTGTAAACTTTTTTAGACTATATTCTAACTTTCAGTCAATAATTTTCTGCCTATGGAGTATTTCATTTGGAATTCTTAGTACACTGTAGAATATTATTGTCATCTTTCAATTTTGGTGAATTCTTTAATTCTTCAAACATTACTATATACATTATAAACATTGTCAAAACTATTAATTATAGTATATTAAACATAATAATGAGATATTGTTTTACAGGTTCAAATTCAGATAGTTATTATTCTGAGGGTTTAGACAATGATGTACATCCTTATGACTCCTGCTAGAGGTAAGCTTATATAGAGCATGATTTTTTGTTACTTGATTTCAGCTGACATGGTCATATATTTATGAATTCCCGACAACAAATTAAATTTCCCTGTTTATTCCAACCTACATAGTATGTCCCTCCAAATTCCTATTCCTAAGCACCAAACATCCTGTATGATAGAGTTATGAGAAAGGGAATGTTGGAAAGCTTAATTATATTGATGAATATAGACGAGTATATATAGTACAAGATTAGAACATTGAACATACCAAACTATGACTAGATACAATATGTGACTAGGTACATTAGCTAATTATAAGGGATATACTTTGACTATTAAAATTAAGGAGTAAATCAAGGGATTTACATATTCTAAACAATAACTAATAATGATAATGATGATATAATCATCTTTATCCTTTATACTGTAAAGGCAATGAGGTTGATGCTCAATCACTTGTATAATCATCTTTATCCTTTATACTGTAAAGGCAATGAGGTTGATGCTCAATCACTTGTGTCTTACATTTAGGTAATTGACAATTATAAGGTTCTACCCCGAAATGCAATTATGTTCTGGTGAAGATTGCGTGCAAGGCTTTCTCCAAACCGTGAAGTTGTAAGATCAATGGCAGAACTTGCACGAACTCACAAGAAATGTAGGTTATCCTCTGTCTTTCATAGTTTGTACTATAGAACATGACACTACTTTGTTGGATCAAAGTAGTGTCATGTTCTAAGAAGCATGCTAGTTTGTACTATAGAACATGACACTACTTTGTTGGATCAAAGTAGTGTCATGTTCTAAGAAGCATGCTTGTTATGTTTGGTAGTCTATTAGAGTGAAAAGACTTGCCATCATTAGTTGAGTTATTGTGTTGATGTATTAATCCACTAAGTCGACATTTTCTTAATTCTAATTAGTATTAGTGATGTGTAAACTTATATAAAGTTTTTTTTTTTCCTCCTTTTTTTGAGGAATTGTATAAAGGTTTTTAATGCTATTAAAGAGTATGTTTAATTGGAATGAACACATATATCTAGGGGTGAGCAAAAATTCAGGGTACCCTGATATGGAACCGGAACCTGTTCGTAACCGCAGGTTCCAAACCCGGAACCTGTTGATCAGGTTTTGGTTCTGGGTAATAAAATTAGACAGGTTTCGGTTCCGGGTAATAAAATTTTGGATCTAGAACCTGTAGGGTACCCTGTTAGTACAGGTTCCCTATAGGGTACATGAAACCGGAACCTATATGGTATTAAAAATTGTAGATAATTAGTGTTGGTTTGTTATATTTGAAGTACTATACTAAAGTTGTAAGCTTTTATTGTGATCATCTATTTAAAAAAAAAAATTTGTCACAATTTATCAAGTAACTATTAAACTTACTTTGACAAACAGGGTACCCTGTTTAGGAACCGGAACCTGCAGGTTCCGGTTCCGGTTCTCAATTCTTAGGAACTTGTTGCAATAGGTTCCGGTCCCGGTTCCTATTTTTAGGAACCTGTTGCAACAGGTTCCGGGTCCTGAAATTTTTACAGGGTACCCTGCTACGCTCACCCCTACATATATCTAATTATATTTGCAACACACTTTTTTAACTTGCTATTGAGGAAGAGATCAAAGAGAGTAAATGGACAAATTTATCTAACCTATAACAATATACATTGAAGCCTTTAACATCAAAAAGTGTTCACAATATACATCAAAGTATATAGCAAAACAAAGATTCATAATTGAAGATATAGACCATATGACTTCTTGTAAAAAAATAAATAAAAATATAGACCATATGATTAATTCTATCCATATATTGTGCATTTGTGCTTCATAGTTCAATACAATTTTACAAATAGAATGCCTACAAGGCGTAATAGTTTTTTCCTTTCATTTATAAGCTAACTAGATGAAGCCCGTGATGGTTTGTTAGTATTTTTTTTAAAAAATATTTTCATATTTATGTGATTAAATTGTTATTATATTAGTTTTAAAATATTAAATAAAATTCCTAATCTCTAAAGATAATATTTTGTATTTAATTAATTTAAACTTTAAAATCTCATTCGTCAATTTTGCTTACATGGCATTTGAATTATTTAATTGTAAAAGAAATTAATAATTTCTTATTTAATTGGCTACAACTTAAATTTATAATCCTATATGGCGCTAAGAAAATTAAATCCTACGTGGCTCTCTAAAAACTCGGGTAAAAACTCCCCTTTATATATATACTAGTTTTGTGCCCCGGCGATGCCCGGGTAGTTTATAGACTTTTAAGATAAAATTATACTACCTCCGTTAAATGTTATGTGTAACATTGACATATTTTATATCTCTCAAATAATACCCCAAAATTGCACTTAACATTTAACGAAGATAGTATTATATTCAATTTGATTGAAAATAGAATTCTAAATTAACTTTTTTTGCTACAAAGTCAATCTATATTTATCCAACGTGGTACGATATTTGGCGAAAAATTAAAACACTAAATGTTGTTGTCTTGTGGCCTAATTATAAATTAATTATTTGATATTTTATCGAAAATATATCTCTAAACTAATAATCTTATTCTAAAATTCTATCCTAATTTGATAGAAAATAGAATTCTTACCTAATTTTTTTTATCTTATGAAATCTATCTAAGGTGGCGCGAACTTGACAGTTTTTTTTTTATCAAATGAAGTCTATTTAAATCTATCCAAGGTGGTGCGATACTTTGCGAAAACTTGGAATGCCCTGTGCAATGCCCGGATTGTTTATTGAATTGTAACATAAAATTTAACATATATATCAAATTTTAAAATTTATCATTGATACAAATTTTAATTATAATTTGAACATCTGAAATATTGATATTTTATCGAAAATAAAACTCAAAACTAACAATTTTATCTTAAAATTATATCCAAATATAATTTTAAACTAACTTTTTTATCTGGTAATGACGCTAAGAAAATTAAATCCTACGTGGCTCTCTAAAAACTCGGGTAAAAACTCCCCTTTATATATATACTACCTCCGTTTCATAAAATCTGCAACAAAGGGCCTTGCACAATTCCCAAGGCAAAATTTCTTAAGCAAAGATTAGTAAACAAAAGGGCATGTGATTAATTGGATGAGAGTAAATAACCCCACCACAACCACCCAAAACACAACCAGCGCACCACCACCAGACCATTGCACCAGACCACCAACACCACCAGACCACCAACACACGAAGCCCCACCTCACCACCACCAATCACCTCGCACAACCACCCAAAACTCATCCAACCAACTCGCACCTCCACCAACAACCCACCCAACCACCAACAAACCAAGACCCCAACTCACCACCAAAGAACCAAAACCCTCACTTACCACCACCAACGAACCCACCCAACCAAATTGCAGACCCCCAAATTGCAACCTAATCGCATACCCCCAAATCGCAACCTATCGCAGACCTCCAAATCGCAACCTAATCGCATATCCCCAAATATTGCAGACCCCCAAATCGCACGACCCCAAAATTGCAAACCCTCAAATCGCCCCGATTTGGCAGAGTGACGTGAAAGGTCGGGGTGAACGATGACAACTTTGAAAGGGGAAATAGAGGCAGCGGTTTCGTGGTGGTGGTGGTTTTGTGGTTGTGAGTGATGAGAGGGAATTGATCTGAGTGGCGGTGTCGTGCAGTTAGTGGTGGTGTCGTGCTGTTGGTGGTGGTTCATAGGGAGGAGAGAGAAAAAATGGTGATGTTGGTGGTGGATGTGGTTGTGAGGGTGGAGAGAGAATGTGGGTTAGGGTTTTAATTAAGGATAAATTAATTTGGGTTAAAGAGTTAATATGTTATTTATTGTAGTTAAGTAAATTTTAGTAAGGGTATGGTGGTAATTTTACACAAAAAAATTTACTAAAAGGGGAAACTTTTAGTTTGTCGCACATAATGTGTAGTTTCCGTTTTAGAAAATTGTTGCAGATTTTATGAAACGGAGGTAGTATTAGATATTAGATTGTTATTGGAAATAATACAAATGACTTTAATGAATCGATCATAAATATTTATATAATACATTATGTTCATTTTCAAATTAGTTAGGTTAATTTTCAAATCAATTAAATTAAATTAAAATAATTTAAAAAATAATCACCTTGAAAACAAAACAACATTGTTCTGCTGAGAGCCTGCCAGTGGGAAATAACATAAGTGATTGAGCCTTCTTTTCGATTCCAATCAATTTTGAAATCCATTCTCATCAGAGTCATCACCCTTGACCCCGTAGGAATTCATGGTATTTATTGGTATCCTTCAATCCTAACTAAAACTAAATTCAGCAGTTGAAGAAATCCCCGCGAAAATGGATTTTCCTTCTCTCTCATCTACCACCACACACTACCACTCTACTTTCTCTCTTCTCGCCGGAGAGCCCCACCCTCGATTTTCTCTCTCCTCCAACAACTCCGGCGAACCTCCTTCCACTTCTTCCTGTTCTCCGCATTTTCAGCCCAAAATTCGCCGCCCCAAAACCCTCAAAACCACCACTTCCAAACCCCCACCTCCTCCTCCTCCTAAACCCCCTTCAAATCCCCTCAAATCCCTCCGTTTTCCCCAAAATACCCCTTCCCCATCTCCCCATAATCTCACTGCTAAGCTCCGCCTTACTAGCAAGATTTCCCCGCCTCCGCCGCCTCCCCCGGTCCCGAACGATGTCGTTTTTGGGGGTGTATTTGATGAGGAAGATAAAGAGGAGAAGGAAGGAGATAAGAGGGGTTCTGGGGTTTCTGGGAAAGTGGAATTTCGGCAAGAGGGTAAGATTTTTGTGGGGAATTTACCATTGTGGATTAAGAAACCCGAGGTTACCGAGTTTTTTCGACAATTCGGGCCGATTAAGAGTGTGATTTTGATCAAAGGGCATGAGGATTTGGAGAGGAATATAGGATTTGGGTTTGTTATATTTGGTGGGGAAATGGCGGAGAAATCGGCATTGAGGGCTGTGGAGTTTGATGGGGTGGAGTTTCATGGAAGGGTTTTGACTGTGAAATTGGATGATGGTAGGAGGTTGAAGACGATTGCACAGGAGAGAGAGAGGTGGGTTCAGAGAGGGGAGGGGAGGGAGTTCCGGTCAAAATGGCATGAGGAGAGGGATGATTCCAGGAAGGTGTTTCGGAAGGTTGTCGAGTCACAGCCGGAGAATTGGCAGGCCGTTGTTCGTGCATTCGAGAGGATTAAGAAGGTATAACTTATTCTGATGCTTTTATACTTGCTGGTTTGCTGCAACATAATGTTTGTAGGATGTGATTAATTGAATGATTGTGGTTTATATTATTGAAACTTTGATGATGCAATGTTAATTGCATTAGGTGAAAAAGGCTATTCTTCCAAAATTACAGAATTAGGGTTTATTTGATCATTGACAAATTTGTTCAGTACTAATTGGGTCACTGACCCCCTGTGTTAGGATTTCTGTGTCTTTGCTACTCTGAAGTTTATTTCAATTGTTCAATCATCCTTTTCTGTGAAGTGTGAGGTGTGCTTATAGTTTCTAATTTAGCCACGTTACCAGCTTGACATGAGCTGTAATTTGTGTAGCCTTTATATCATAGACTAGAGTTGTGTGCCCTATGTTCCATGGATCCTACATTCGCAAAAAAAGCTTGTGTTCAGCTTAGATTCTTGAGAGGTTAGATTGTTATAGACAAGATTCTACCTTTTGCTTACATTTTGGAAGCATCATTGCTCTGAATGAGATAAGAATCCTTTCTGAAGTTTGGTGGTTATCTAGTATTTTCCTAAGATGCACTTTGAACACATATAATATAATTAGACAAATGTTCCTTCACTTGTTAAGTTGTATCCTTAGAGGCTTGCGGGATGTTAGCTATTAATTGATGGAATTTGGTGAAAAACATTGCTTGCATTTGTGCAATGCCCCTTGTGGATGCCCTAGGCAATGCATCATATAAACTAACATTTGTTTCCTTTTTCTTCTTTTTTTTGAAGCAATTTGTTTCCTTTTTCTTTCTTTCTTTCTTTTTTTTTTTTTTTTAAATTTATTTATTTTTATTATTTTTTTTATCACTATTCACATCCATATCTTAAGATGGGAAGATGGAATGGTTGATAATGAAAAGTAGTAAATATAATCAAATGTTCTAGTGGAGTTACCCTAGACGTGCACATCATATGAGATTTTTAGTATCAAAATTTTCCTAATCTAGGTCTTGCTTATTTCATTGTACTGCTGATGTTCAAATGGGTTTATATTTTTTTCTCATTTTTAATTTGTATGAAATTAGCCATCTAGGAAAGAGTTTGGGCAGATGGTAAAATTTTATGCAAGACGTGGGGACATGCATCGTGCACGTGAAACTTTTGAAAGCATGCGAGCAAGAGGGATTGAGCCAAATTCACATGTATTTACAAGGTAACATAATCCTGGAAACCATTTATTTGGACTATGTCTTTGTCTTGAATTTTATGGATTCCTATAAATTGAAAAAGTGTTACACATGATTTGAATGTATGATTTGCTGCAGATCTAGTCTAAATACATAAGTCTACTGTGAACAATTATTAACTTGAATGGTATTTTGGATTCAATAAAAATTGAAATTGAATCCTCCTAATTTCTGTTACTTATTCTGTCAACTAGTATTCTTCAAATTTTGGGTCTACTACTTTTGATATGTAATGTAAAATTTTTCTCTGTGCAGCCTTATTCATGCCTATGCAGTTGGCAGAGACATGGAAGAAGCACTGTCATGTGTGAGGAAGATGAAAGAAGAAGGGATTGAATTGACTTTGGTGACCTATAGCATTCTTGTTGGAGGCTTTGCTAGAGTTGGATATGTCGAGTTAGTATCTTCTCTTCTAGAATTAATTTATAATCCTTCTGTATTCTTCTGTGCTTGCTTGCAATTTCTAAGTTTTCTTTTCCTCTAAGCTTTGGATTTTTGGTATAGACCACCATGTTTTTTTTTCTTCTGATAAGAAACAATGGTTCTATCGTGTCCATTTTTAACTATAAACTTTTCACAACCCTGAGATAGTGTTTTCTCTTTTTGGGATACGAAACTTGAGTGCCAAAGTTGTTGTCAATTAACCACTAGTAAACATTGCCTTTTTTGGGACTCGTATTGGGCTATTGTTTAGAGTTTAAGAATACAAAATTTGGTCTAGTATAGGATTTTGCAAATGAATGAATCAATGAAATGAATTTTCTTGTTGATTCACCAATTACACTTCGAGGAAGGGGAATTCTTGCACTGGATGTGCTTGCTGAAGAAAATTGAGAAAGCCGGTTCAAGATCCCTAATTTACAACGTGTATGGATTGAAGGAGATAAAGGGAAAAGAGGGGAAGGGAAATGGAGGGGTGGAGTATCTTTCGTTTGGATAACAAATGAGGAAGGAAGGGAATTGGAGGGGAGAGAAATGGAGAGTTAAAATCGTAAGTAATTGATCTTTCCAACAATTAAAGGTGGGCATCGTGCCGTGCCGTCGCGGGCATGCCTGGGCCAGAGGTGGGCTCGTGCCGTGCCGGCTTCGCGGCGGGCCGTACCGTGCCGTGCCAACTTTTGGCACACCCCAGCCCACGGCACGGCACGACCCACGTGCCTTGTATTTTTTTTTTTAAATATTAAATGTATATTAAAAAAAAAATCGGTATATATTTTTTTTGTACAACTGAAGTTTATATATTTAATGATATTAATTTATGTTTATGTAAATAATTTATGTTTAAGTTTACATAAAAAAATTTATTAATTTAGCGAAAAACAACAATGCATATAATAATAAAAAAAATTGCAAGTGCGATAAGCCGAAAACACAAAAAATTGATGAATAACTTATTTTATTATATGCCGGTAGTTGGTACGATAAATCGATAATACAAAAATTAATGGTAATTAAAAATCGTACAATAATTGGTGAATAACTTCATTTTATTATACGGAATACGAGGTTCGATAATACAAAAATTGTACAATAGTATCTAATGTAAATATGGAATTATTATTCTTCGTCTTCGCCTTCGTTTTCGTTTTTGTTTTCGTCTTCGTCTTCGTCTTCTCTTGGCCAATTGAGTTGATTGAGAACTAATAGAACCCGATGTTCCTTTATCGTCGTCGTTTTCTACATAAGTACGATCTTGGAACGAGTTTCGGCATCCAACCAATCCTTGAAGCAAACACACATTTCAAGTGTTTCGGGTTTTAGTCTTGTTCTTCTATCGTCTAAAACCCGTCCCGACGCACTAAAAGCTCTTTCGGAGGCAACGGAGGAGATTTGGATAGCAAAAATATCACGAGCCATTGCCGCCAAAATTGGATGTTTTGTGGTTTGTGATTTCCACCACTCAAGGATGTCGAGGCCGAACTTCTCTTCATCGTCCATGCCTTTTATGAAGTCGTAACTTAACTACATTTGCAACTCCGAAACATCGCTTTGTGTTCTCCTAGATGATGATGATTCCGTACCTGAAAACTTAGACATCATGTTAGCAGCTTGTGCAAATAAACCTTTGGCCCTATTACTTACGTTTTTGGATGTTTGAGAAGGGGCAAATCGAGACATGATTCCATATTTGGATTCATAAATGCTATATAAAGAGAAAAAATCTTTAGTGACCTTAGTTTTAAAAGTTTCAACATTATCTTTAAACTCCATGTTACTATAATAAATATCAATTAATAGAAAAGTGTCATCATACTTTTGCCTTGGATCTAAAATAATATAAATCATAGGAATATTAGTGTAATATTTACGCCATTTTTCCTCCATAGATGGAAGATATCCACGATAATCATGTTGTGATCGGTGTTCGGGTAAACATGCATTGCTAAGAAAAGAATGGGAACAAGGATTTTCTACAGAAGAAAAACAATGTGCATACTATATAGTAATTGTAAAAACTTCATATATTTTTCACAATTAACCCAATCATTTTCTAGTAAAGCACATTGTGAAAATTTCATATTATAAAAAAGTGTTAAATGAACCTTGTACTCGGTTGCCCGATTCAACATTTCATAGGTGGAGTTTCACCTAGTTGCACAATCCGGTGCTATTATGATACTCTTTATCCTTTGTTGCTTACAAAAACTTTTCCATTCTTGATATCTCAAGTTAGGGCTATTAATAGACATAATAACATTCCTTATTTTGTTATAGGTCAACGTAAAGCCCCCGTGAGAGCTTATAGCCAATACAAGAGGCATGTACGGAAACGGGTAACATGACCATTTAAAGGCAAATTGGATAGGTCCACCAACCCGGAGGGTATTAGGGACCATGGTAAACATCTCGGCAATTTTTATTTCCAGGGGAAAAAGGTAAAAAAAATTACAAAATTGAAGGCTCTATTCACCACCAAGCCCCAAAACCTCAAAATTTCCTCAAAAAGCGTGGATTATAGCCGTTAATTTTGTAATTTTTTGACCTGTTTTCGCCCGGAAATGAAAATTGCCAAGATGTTTACCATGGTTCCTATTATCCTCCGGGAGTCCAATTGGGTCACTGGAACCATCCAATATGCTCTTAAAAGGTCATCTTACCCGTTCACAACTTGTGGTAATTTCGTAAACTTAAGCTACCACGTACATTTATGACATATAATGATCATATATGGTTTCAAACGGCATTATATGACCCCCGAGATGTATCCCTTAGGGTCTCAAGCCTTTTCGCCACTGGTCCCCGAAAACTCAAAATTTCCTTAAAAAGCGTGGATTATAGCCTTCAATTTTGTAATTTTTTTGACCTTTTTTCATCTGGAAATTAAAATTGGCGAGATGTTTACCATGGTTCCTAATACCCTACGGGAGTCCAATTGGGTCAGCGGTACCATCCAATATGCCCTTAAACGATCATTCTACCCGTTCACAACTTGTAGTGATTTCGTAAACTCAAGCCTAACACATACGTTTATGACAACATATAATGATCATATATGGTTTTAAACGACAATATATGACCCCGAGATATATCCCCTAGGGTTTTAACACTTTTCGCCACTGGGCCTGAAACCTCAAAATTTCCTTAAAAAGTGTGGATTATTATGCCTTCAATTTTTTAATTTTTTGAGCACTTTTTGCCCGGAAATGAAAATTGCCGTAATTTTTACCACAGTCCCTAGACCCTCCAGGAGTCTAATTGGGACGGTGGAACCATCCAATATGCCCTTAAACAGTCATTTTACCCGTTCGTAACTTGCACTGTTTCGTAAACTAAATCCTACCATGGACGTTTATGACAACATATAATGATAGTATAAGGTTTCAAACGGCATTATATGACCGCGAGATGTATCCCGTTGGGTCTCAACGCTTTTCACCACCGTGCCTGAAACCTAAAAATTTCGGCGTTGATTATAGCATTTAATTTTGTAATTTTTTGACCTTATTTCGCCCGGAAATAAAAATTGCCGATATGTTTACCACGGTTCCTAATACCCTCTGGGAGTCAAGGGTCAAGGGTCAGTGGAACAATCTAATATGCCCTTGAACGGTCATCTTACCCATTCATAACTTGCAAAGATTTCGTAAACCCATGCCTACCACGTACGTTTATGACAACATATAATGATCATATATGGTTTTAAACAACATTATATGACCCCGAGATGTATCCCCTAAGGTCTCAAGGCTTTTCGACACCGGGCCCCTTAACCTCAAAATTTCCTCAAAAAGCGTGGATTATAACCTTCAATTTTGTAATTTTGTGACCATTTTGATGTTTACCATGGTCCGTAATTTATTTTAGGAGTCCAATTGGGTTGGTGGAACTATCCAAATATGCCCTTAAACGGTTAATTTTATCCGTTCACAACTTGAAGTGATTTTGTAAACTCAAGCCTACCACGTACGTTTATGACAACATATAATGATCATATATGGTTTCAAACGGCAATATATGACTCCGTGATATATCCCCTGGGGTCTCAACACTTTTCGCCATCAGGCCCTAAACCTCAAAATTTCCTCAAAAAGCGTGGATTAGCCTTCAATTTTGTAATTTTTTAACAGCGTTTGTTTGAAATAAAAATTGCCAATATGTTTACCACGGTTCCTAATACCCTCCGGGTGTCTAATTGGTCAATAGAACCATCCAATATGCTCTTAAATGGTCATTTTACCCGTTCATCACAACTTGCATTGATTTCGTAAACTCAAGCCTACCACGGATGTTTATGACAACATATAATAATCATATATGGTCTCAAACGACATTATATGACCTCGAGATATATCCCCTAGGGTCTCTAACACTTTTCACCACTAGACCCCGAAACCTCAAAATTTTCTCTAAAAGCGTGGATTATATACTTAAATTTTGTAAATTTTTTGACCTTTTTTTTGCCCGAAATTAAAAATTGCCGAGATGTTAACCATGGACCCTAAAACCCTCCGGGAGTCCAATTGAGTCGGTGGAATTATCCTATATGCCCTTAAACAGTCATTTTACCCGTACTTCTGTTTTCGTAAACTCAAGCCTACCACGGACGTTTATGATAACATATAATGATCATATATGGTTTTGAACAATATTATATGACCCCAAGATGTATCTCCTAAGGTGTTAAGGCTTTTCGACACAGGGCCCCTTAACCTCAAAATTTCCTCAAAAAGCGTGGATTTATATAGCCTTCAATTTTGTAATTTTTTGACCTTTTTCCGTCCGCAAATTAAAATTGGCGAGATGTTTACCATGGTTCCTAATACCCTCTGGGAGTCAATTGGGTCGGTGGAACCATCCAAATATGCCCTTAAACGGTTAATTTTACCCGTTCACAACTTGAAGTTCATAAACTCAAGCCTACCACGTACGTTTATGACAACTTATAATGATTATGGTTTCAAATGTCATTATATGACCCTGAGATATATCCCCAATGGTCTCAACACTTTTTGCCACCGGGCCCCGAAACCTCAATATTTCCTCAAAAAGTGAGGAATATAGCTAGAGCCGTCAAAAACTGACACGACCCGAGAACTCGCCTTAACCGACAATAATCTGAACCCTGCATGTACTCGAACAATGGGGTGAAACTAGTGACCTGTAACCCGGCTGACCTGATCTTAACCGAAAAAACGATTTGATCCAATTCAATACTTTATGACCTGAATCCGAATCTGCACCCGACCTGATAGTAACCGTCGGCCGATTTAATTCGACCCGAAAACAATCTAAACCCGAACTAGTACCCAACCCAATTAAACCCGAACCTTAGTCATGTAAGGTTTAATGAAATTTTATATACCTTTTATTCAGCTATGTACTGGTATAATCTGATTTAATAAAATCTTTTGTTTAGCTTATATACTTTTTGTTCTCTATTACTCGTACATAGGTTTTAATAAGATCTTGATGATGCTTGATCAAATTATGGAAGGCGTAATTATATAGTTCAACTTGGTCACATCGATATTTATTAGAATTGAACTTGAATCAAAGCCCGACTCAACACTAACCCGAACCCGAATGTACCATCTTGTTAAACCATCCAAATCCAACTCAACACAACCCGAACCTGAAATTGAACCCAACCTGATTTTAAGTCGAATTGAACCCGACCTATATCCGAAAAGGTGAACGACTTGTTATAACTTAAACTGAAATTGACCTGAACCCGAACCTAATCTGAGGCTAGATTGTCCCGTTTTGACCTGACCCAAACCCGACTTGAATACCCGAATTTACAGCTCTAATCACAACATACACATTAAAGTTTGTGTATATGTATACAAGCCGGGGTAATATCTTTTGGGGGGGGGGTTGTTTAGAAGTCAGTTAGTATACATGTTATTGATTTAGGAAGGTAAGGTTGTAATTGAAGAGAGGGGAGATATGTTAGGATTTGAGTGGTTAGGGAGGGGGATAGGGTAAGTGAGTTATGGGTACGATTTGAAAAGGTAGGCTGAAGATGGGAGGTGATTTAGTGCTGTCAAATTTCATCTCTATTCCTTTTTTTCCATCTCTATTAAAGGTTGTAGACAAACTAAGGGAAAATCATCTGCATTGGTTTGGACATGTAAGACGGAGACTCGAGGGTGCACTTGTACGAAGAGTGGGACCACACAGGGGTTAAACGAGGGAGGGGGAGACCGAAAATATCTTGGTTGGAAGGGGTTAGGAAGGATATGAAGTATATGGATTTGCATGAGGATGAGGCATTGGATCGTAAGGGATGGAAGAGAAAGATTTTTGTCGATGACTACACGGAATAATCACTTTTGGTTCATGTAGCCGACCCCACTTATGGGATTGAGGCTTTGATTGATTAGTTGGTTGATATATTGAAGGTGTCAAATTTCATTTCTATTCCTTTTTTTTGGGTAGATCTTGTGCATATCTTCGAAGTAGGAAAATGAATAAATAGGATTCCCTGCTTTACCTAATCTATTATATTGCAGATGTATAGGTATGCAGTCTACCTCACAGGGGTTTAGGTTTGATTTATGAAAATAAAAAATATAAAAAAACTGTAGCTCTGCTGGTCTAATGGTCTATACTCTATAGATAACCTTTTCTTAGCAAGGTTGTCTTTTGGCCTCACTTTCTCCTTTATGTATTAAACTCTGGATATAAGTAGTAGTTGTTGTGTGTGTTTCCATCTAATGCTTGCTGATGTTCTCTTGGAAGGGCTGCAGATCAATGGTTCAAAGAGGCAAAAGAGAAGCATACAACACTTAATGCAATAGTCTATGGCAATATAATCTATGCCTATTGGTCAGCGTTCATATAACCCTATACCATTCTTTATTAAATTTTATCTTTATTGAAATATTTATTTGCCCCTAAAAGAAAATTTTCATTACATTATTTTCATTTTGCTTTATGTATGCAGTCAAACTTGTAATATGGATCGCGCAGAAGCGCTTGTTAGGGAGATGGAAGAACAGGGTATTGATGCCCCAATTGACATATATCACACGATGATGGATGGTTACACCATGATTGGTGATGAAGAAAAATGTTTGATTGTCTTTGAGAGACTGAAGGTATTGCCATTTTAATTAAGTGCTAAATTATTCATATATCCCATATGATTAATGGAATATGCTGATGTATTGTTAATATAAATTCATATTGTGAGTATAATCTGTTAAATACTTATTTTATATTTTTAATTGTAATTATTGCTTCTTGTTATTTTTGCCCTTTGATGTGGAATGAAGTGAAGGATATCTCACATGGAATAGACTTTAGTCTTTGGTTTGAAAGGTGGGTTGTTTTTATTTGATGCATAATTTTTCAAATTTTCCTTATATGCACTCAGATACTGGAGACACTTTTTACTAAGCTATTAGCGGTAGACTTTCAGACCACAAATTTTAACTGCATATAAATTCTTCATCTTTTTTTTTTTTTTAATAGATCATAGAGAAATAAATGATGTAAAGATAGCTCATTTTACAAAGTTTCCTTGTACTGATCCTGGGTACCAAAATCCAATAAAAATGTGGCTATATGCTGGATTAGTGAAAGAGAGATAATTTAGTTGTCGTTATGGGTAACTGAGAAGAGTGATGGCTCCAAATTTGTCTTTGAGATCATGAATGGAAAAAGTCTCATCAAATCATCAAGAGTCGTATTGAGATCATAGTTGGAGCAATGTTTATTTTTGAGAGTAATGGTTTTGATCTTATATATTATTATCTTGATACCCTCTTTCAGTCTTTTTTGTCGAGGAGGTAGCTACATCTACTTTATTTATTTTTTATTTTATTTTTGTTGAGGAGAAAGTTAGATATATGATTTTAAGGCTTGGTTGGCTCCTATTTTATTGATGGCTGAGGAAACTAGTGCAGAAGCTTTTTGGAGAAAAGATGAAACGAACATTTGATGTGGGGGATAAATCCTATCATTAGTGGGTTTATTATGCTCTTTGAGATAGGTATGAAAACCTCTCAGATCCTTGGACTTGTAGACTTCTCAAATTATTGATTTTAAAAATTGATACAGGAGGCTAGATATACTAAATAGAAGATTTATTATAAGTAGAAAAGTAAGGAAAAAATTCACCAGATGGTGAGTTGGTGACTGAAGGTCTGTCTTTGAACGTTATTGGAGCTGTTGCATCACACTATCTACTAATAATAAGGGAAGAAACTTGTAGAAAATTTGGGATGCAATTTAGTGATGGATGATATTGGAGATAGACTCTCATGTCATGGTCTTCAACTTTGGTTTTTAGAAATCTTTTGTTAGATGTGTTGAACTCTAAGAAATAAAGGTGAACCGAGGAAAATTTTGGTGATTATGAAGGTCATGGAGCATGGTTGTAAACATTTTGCAGTTGTTTTTAATTAATGGTTCTGTTTCTCCGTAGGTTGGAATAAGAGGACTAGTTTCTACCTTTTGTTGTTACCTTGGTAAGAGATATATTTGAATTGCTTTCTCTGAAGAAGTACTGAGTGTATTGTGATGGAGGGCTTCAATATTGGTTCAGTTGAGATCCTTCAATTATTTGGTTATGCTGTGAAGAGAATTTCATGATTCTGTTTTTCCATTCGATTTTAGACATGTATCCTGCCTTAGTTTGAAGTCTTTGAACCCTTTACTTTAGCATAGTTTAGTTGGATTTAATAACGATCAACTTACGTAAGCTGCTGTTTGTGTGTGTGTGTGTGGGGGGGGGGGGGGGATGTTCCGCGTTCCCTTACACTTTGCTATTGCCATAACATAATTTTGTTTTGTTCAAGGAGGAGGGATAAGTGAATTAGAAGAGTAATGCTACAAATAAGAAAAGTTTAGGGAGAGGTTATCATGTTGAATATTACCGAGAGTTTGATTACATATTGGGAGAGAAAAAGCCCCTCAAATGATTGTACCTATCCATTGCTATTGTTGTTTTCCAAATTATATATATCAAGCTTCATTGTTTTCTTAGGGCCTGTTCTCTTCAGCTTATTTTTAGTTCAATTCAGCTCAGCTCCAATAAGTTAAGTTCAGTTCTTATCTTAATTTCCTTCTCTCATAAAATATTCATTTCATTTCAGCTCCAATAAGTTCAGTTCAGCTCAGTCCAGTCAATCAAAACAGGCCCTTAATCTTTACATTTTATCACTTGAGTCTGTCCTATGCTATCTTTATTCATAGCATTGCATCCTAGGAAAATGGCATCACTCTTATTTTTGTAATAGGTATTTCTCCACATACCCTATTGTTTATTTAAAAATGAAATTTATGGAATTTAATCTCTAAAAGGGAATTTGCTAGTATTATAAAATTAATTTATGGACTCCAATGCCTCCCTCATTGCTGAACAGTTAAAGGATGCCTGTTCAATTCCCTATGTAATTCCTTTCCCATCTATAATACCCCCAACCCCATAGCCCAAAAATAAAAGTAAAAAACTCATTAAGTCCTTAATAATGAGGTTCACAGCCTCAATTTTACAAATAAGGTCAAACTAGCGAAGCCTTAAAGTTGCAAGCAAAGAAGATCAAACTAGTGAAGCCTCAAAGTTACAAACAAGATCAAAGTAGTGAAGCCTCAATGTTGCAAACAAGATCAAACTAGTGACGATTAAAATAAAAATGAGACACTTACCTTTCCAACTTAGATGAACTTTTGGTTCTCATCTTCTGACAAATTTGGAATATTTAATCCAATATGTCTGCTTAATGGATGAGGAACTCTATCAAATAAAGTTCATATAATTTTTCCAAATTATCATGCTGAGTTGTAAGTCATATTTTGGTTCTGAAATTATAAACCTATGAAGATGATGATGAGTATGGTGACAATATCATGTTTTTGGTATTATACATCCTTCTCAGAATGAGTAATTTGAAAAGATTCCAGGTTTAGGTTTCAATCGCTTGGTTTCTTGGAATACCTCTTGTGCGTTATGCTTAAAGTCACCATTGTCATGACCTCCATGCTGTTTTGATCACTAGTCATGATTGTCTTGCAGCGTTCGTATACACTTGGATAAAAAAAAGGGAGTATTTTAATAATTATCTTCGGAGAATGTTGGGCTTCTAAGAAGAAGCACATTAAAAAGATGAAGGTTACGGAAATGCGCATGTTAAGGTGGATGTGCGGGAACAGAATCAAAGATGAGATTATTCGCAAGAAAGTAGGTGTGGCAGGCATTGCAAACAAATTAAGGAAAAATCGCCTGCGTTAGTTTGGGCATGTAAGACGGAGACCCGAGGGTGCACCGGTACGAAGAATGGAAGAGTGGGGCCATGGAGGGGTTAAACAAGGGAGAGGGAGATCGAAAATGACTTGGTTGGAAGGAGTTAGGAAGGATATGAAGTATATGGATTTGCATGAGGATGAGACATTGGATCATAAGGGTTGGAGACTTGGAGGAGGAAGATTTTTGTTGATGACTACACGGAATAATCATTGTGGTTCATGTAGCCGACCCCACTTATGAGATTAAGGCTTTGATTGATTGATTGATCTTGGGAGAATTCTAGGTTGAGAGGATTGAGGGAGGGGAAGTTTCATAATTTTACCAAGCTTCTTATTGCCTCTGACTTTCCACCATACAGGATGACCCTATTTCTGCTTTATGTATTTATGGAGAGATCTTGTTCCAGAAACTGTGGCATAACGTGGAATTCTCATGATTAAGATCAGTGGGAACACCCTTCTTGTATATTGTTCTAGACCAGCAAATTAAAGCAATCAGCGGTGTGGATGGGCGAGACTGCTAGTCTAGCTTCAGTCTTAATTAATGGGATAGTCCCTCAGGTTTCTGTTTTCCCAATATTTCCTTTGATGATAGTAGGAGATTTTGGATGTTGATCCCTTTAAGTATATTCACCTGGTATATTTCAGTGATAAGTTCTGATCACTACCTTTTCATTTCATATCGAAGTGTGGGTCCTCTGTAAGTTAAAGGAACAACTAGCACTTTTTTATTTTATTTTATTTTTTTAATTGATGAATATTTCACTAATTTGGTTCAGGTAAAGAAATAATGATTTGGAAACAAATAAAACTTGTTATCTTCAATGTTTTCCCAGGAAGTTGTTGGGTGTCAATGTGTCATAGTGCATATGGTCGATTTCCGGTCAGGCAATCAGCCTTTATTGTAGATGTGGTTCTTGCTACTTTCATGAGTGTGAATATAGGTATGAGGCTATGAGTAGAGTGAGCTTGCTAGATTCGATTGCTATGCTTTGCTGTATTGGCTGCAGATGTGTAGAGATGTCCCTCGTAACTCGAATATCTGTACTGGCCTAATGAGGTGTCCTTTGTCACCGGAGAAAATGATGATAATGGAAATTATAAATTAATGATATTTGGAATTTATTGTTTAGCTAACGCAATCTTCTCACTGATACAATAAGAACAGGGCTTCCTCTGATTTGGAGTTGGATTTGCTATTCTGTGGAACATGGAATATAACTGTCAATCTGATGGACATGCAAATCTGTGCATCTCATCTATTAGATATTCAAGTGTAACCTTTGACAATAATGGTCCTTTTGAACATACATATGCTGTTTCCCGATACTCTTGCAACTTTTAAAACTGTGTAAATTGCATCTTCTTTTGTTTCATGTCTAATTGTTCACTGCATCGTGTTTATTTTTTTCCCCTCTGATTTGCTATGGATGTCTTGCCTTTCCAGGAATGTGGCTTTGTGCCCTCAGTTGTCACCTATGGATGTCTATTGAATATATACACAAAGGTACCTCTAATCTTTTTAACTTCCTCATTGATTCATTCCTCTGTTTCTCTCTCTCCAATATAAATCTTTTCAATTGTGCAAATGTCATGGAAAGTTTTCAAGTTTCAAAGCTTGAGAACTCATTACTGAATTATTCACTTTTTCTTCAGTCTGGAAAAGTTTCCAAGGCCCTTGAAGTAAGTGAAATGATGAAATCTGCTGGGATCAAACATAACATGAAGACTTATTCCATGTTGATCAATGGATTCGTGAGGTTAAAAGATTGGGCCAATGCATTTGCTATTTTTGAAGATGTTATGAGAGATGGTCTGAAACCTGATGTAGTACTCTACAATAATATAATTCGAGCTTTTTCTGGAATGGGTAACATGGACCGTGCCATTCGCTTAGTTGAGCAAATGAAGAAAGAACGGCATAAACCCACAACAAGGTCATTCATGCCCATAATTCATGGCTTTGCAAGAGCTGGAGAAATGAGAAGAGCCCTTGAGGTTTTCAATATGATGCGAAGGAATGGATGTATCCCAACTGTTCACACGTTCAATGCATTAATCCTGGGCCTTGTAGAGAAGCGACAGGTAAACATAGTTGTTGATAATATGAAGATTGAAGATTGCTGTTTTCCCATTCTTCCAGGTTCTGTCTTTACTGTCTAACATCGGTCCTCCTAAGCCTTCTAGTATGTACCAGTTGAAGGTTTGTCTGGGATGATGCTATGACATCCCTTAGTCCAGTCTGACTAAGTGTTCCATTACACAACATGTCTAAGTCACAGATTTTATTTGAGTTTTGCATGAATAGCAATACAATAAATCAATTTGAAACACCCTAAAATAGTAAGAGGGTATGTATTTGTATTAAGAAAGAGTCTCATCTTAACCAGTCATATCCCTTGAGTAACATTTGCGCTATACTATACTAATCTTTAAGCGGCCTGCATGTATGTGTTTGATCACAAGGTCTCTAGGACAGTTCATTTTTACTCATAAGTTAGCTTAAACTTCTTGTAGTGTCTCACTTTTTACTCCCCCTGTTTTGTTTTAAGTGCAGCATTTTGTCTTTTTGCACCATTCATCTAATCCACTTTAAAAAGTGATAGTGATTACATCAGGAAACTTAGTAGTCTTGTGGGTATTTGCTGGAATCTTCTCAATGAATAGTTTATTAATTATAGTTTATTAACAATTGTTATTATTTTTACTTATTGTGACATTTAGCAACCCCCCTTGATAATTAAAAATATTCTTGGTCTAAGTTTTGCATTGGCATGTGTACCCATGAGAAATGGTGCACTTGAAAAAAAAACAGAGGGATTTTTTTTTTTTTTCAGTAACTCCTAGCATGTATCCATATACTAGTGTTGTGCGAATTTTCAGGTACACAGGGGTAGTGGGTAGTGAGGACACCTAGCTCGGTATTTAATGCTCATTTCAAGCTCTCTAAATAACCAAAAGTTGGGCAATACGCAATGGAGATTCTTTAGTGCTTAATAATGAAGATCTTATCCCGTGACTTTGAAATTTATGCCCCAAAGAAGTGCACCCTTGTTCAAGTTGAATGAGATTATTAGTTTGTAATCTGAAATATTTTGCTTTTAGGATCTTTATTATCTAGCATTTAAAGATGTGAGGTGCATGACACAATAGTGGGCTGTTCACTGTTGACATGAGAGTCAGGCTTGCATCTTGGTGAAACATGATACATATTTTCACTAATTAAATTGTAATCATATAGAATATTTATGCATATAATCACATTTTAAAATTAGCCGAAATGACTAATTTTTTTTATAGTAATGCATTGCAGTACCTCATCATATAAATGTAAGAAATATAGCATTAACTAATTTTTCCCCTTTAATGATAGACCTTGAAAATCTTGAAAGAGATAGTAGCTTGTTAGTTAGGCTTCTTGTATATGTGCAGCTGTGCATCCACTGCATTAGTGCATCTCAATAAAGTTGCTTTGCCCAGACCAATAAAGGCAACCAAGCCTGGGCACCTTGTTGTGTGTCAGTCAGTTCTGAGGTAATCCTTCCCCTTCCCAGAAGTGGAACAAAGAGAAAAGGTGAATGGGGCATCATTATTAGACATTTTTGGTGCTCAGAAACCCCCCAACTTGTGTCAGCCAAACTCATTTCTTACGTAAGCAATTCCCTACATGTCCAAGTGGATTCTGTATAAATAGTGTAAAACTGATTTCAAATATTCTTTGAGGACTCATAGGTTGCTAGCCTAGTATCCATGTTGGCGCATATGATAAACACTTAGCATTTTAGCAATGCTTTTGAGTTTTGAGGCCACTGTGAATGCTGTTTTGGTTTTTATTTTATTTTTTATTTTTTATTTTTATTTTTATTTTATTTTTTACCGTCTGCTGAAACTTTCATGTGCGGAGTGATTTTTTAAGCTCTAATTATCATCTCTTGGCCCTCTTTTATGCATATGGTTAGATTTTTTATTCTAGTGTTCATCATTTCAGATGGAGAAAGCTGTTGAAATATTAGATGAGATGTCGTTGGCAGGGGTGGGCCCAAATGAGCACACGTACACGACAATTATGCAAGGCTACGCAGCTCAAGGTGACACTGGAAAAGCTTTTGAATATTTTACTAAAGTGAAAGAGGAGGGACTTCAGCTTGATGTGTTTGCATATGAAGCATTGCTCAAGGCATGCTGCAAAGCTGGGAGGATGCAAAGTGCTCTGGCAGTTACAAGAGAGATGAGTGCTCAGAATATCCCAAGGAATACATTTGTATATAACATATTAGTTGACGGGTAATGCTCAGTTTTTTTTTTTTAATATTATATCAACGAGCCATTACCACCAATTGGGCAACTTTCACTTTTGCTATGTCTGCTATGTGCTAGTGTTTGTTACCCCTAAGGGCAGGGATAGTCCCCAATTTCTCTTTGATGCTTCCCCAGCTTTTGCTTATAGAATGCTATTGTTTCATACCTCATATTTAATCGTGTAGATGGGCTCGAAGAGGCGATGTTTGGGAGGCTGCTGACTTGTTGCAACAAATGAGAGAAGATGGGGTGCAACCTGATATTCATACTTACACATCCTTCATAAATGCATGCTGCAAGGCTGGAGATATGACTGTATGTTGATACAATTTATGCTAACCTCTGTCATTCTTAGCATTAGAGTTTTTATGTCCTGCCTGTATATCTCTCAATTTCTATTGTGTTCTCCTTTGGAGACGACCGCGTTTTTTTGTTTTTTGTTTTTTGGGGGTGTGTGTGTGTGTGTGGTCTTAAATATTATGTATGTCCAAAGTCCAAACCTGCTCTTCCTTCATGAAACTACTTCTGCCTCTTTGGTCATCCTTTCTGTTGTGCTATTCTCTGAGGAAAACCTTGTGGTAAAAACCTCTTAAACACATATTTTGCTAGTGTCATTTCTTAGCAAAACCTCTTTCTGTATTTTACTTGATTGTGACATTCTGTTGCTTTCTTCTTTTTTGCTCAGAGAGCAGCAAGGACAATTCAAGAAATGAAAGCTGTTGGAGTGAAGCCTAATGTTAAGACTTACACAACATTGATACATGGTTGGGCTCGTGCATCTCTCCCAGAGAAGGCACTAAAATGTTTTGAAGAGATGAAATCTGCTGGCTTAAAGCCAGATAAAGCTGTGTATCATTGCCTAATGACATCATTATTGTCACGAGCAACTGTAGCAGAAGAGTACATATGTTCCGGAATTCTGAATATATCTAGAGAAATGATAGAATCTGGCATAACTGTTGATATGGGTACTGCAGTTCACTGGTCTAGGTGCTTGCGTAAGATTGAAAGGACAGGCGGTGAGCTTACAGAAGCCCTACAGAAGACATTTTCTCCTGATTGGAATGCATTTAGTAATGCCCCAGTGACATCTCAACCAGATGCTTGTGCATCAGAATCTGATGCTGATGACATTGATACATGTTATGAAGGTTTCACGGATAGTGATGATGATGAAGAAGATCACATAACATTGTTATAGTTAGTTGCTTTGCTGATGAAAGCACAGCGTAGTTTACTTAAGCTGACTAGCTGGCACACTTTCTAACTGGCAGCCTGGCAGGTCTTCGTTTGTAATTATTGTTACCCTTTTTGTTTTGGCGGGGTTTTGGGAAGGGTTGCTCTTTTTTTTTTTTTTGACAGAAAGAGGGAGGGTTGCTCTGATGTATCATGTATATGATGTATTGTTCTGTATCTGTTCGGGACAGAATTAGGTTATTATTATTCTTTTATAATGTTTGTACTAAAAAGCTGTTAATGTATATTGTAAGTGAACTTGGGAATCAATTAAGCTACACCATGGACACATTCATTATACATAGGGTTAATTGAAACCATTATCATACTCTACTGGAATCAATTAAGCTACACCATGGACACATTCATTATACATAGGGTTAATTGAAACCATTATCATACTCTACTTGTTTTTTTTTTCGGTTAATTGTAAAGGCCTTGTTTGGTGAAGAACCTTTTAGAGAGTTTTTAGCTTATTTGGTCCTATTAGAGATTTGACCAATTAAAAAAGCTAATTTAGGTGTTTGATAACTAGATTATTAAGAGCTTTTTACATTTGGTTTATTGAACAATTAGTTTTTTGGCTATTAAATACATTAAAATAGCTAACAAGTAACACCTAATTACTATATACTTTAAAACAATCGGCTAGTCAAACCAGTTTATAGCCTTTATACAACCAACTAGTCAAATCAGCTAATACAATCAGCTATCAGGTAATTACCAAATAGGGCCCATATATTTGTAGCACCATTACTTCAACTGTTGTGAGTTTTTGCAAGATTCGTTACTCATCTTACAACTTCAATTTGGAGAAGGTCTCACACAAAGTGTTCACCACACATTGCATCTTGGGATAGTTCCTCATAATTGTTGATTACCTACCTGAATCTAAGACACAAGTGATAAGCATCAACCTCATTCCCTTTACAGGGTATTTGGTGCGTGGGAATAGGAATTTGAGTAAAATACACCATAGGTTGGGATAAACAGGGAAATTTAATTTGTTATGGGGAATTCATAAATATATGACCATGTCAGCTGAAATCAAGTAACAAAAAATCATATACTGTATAAGCTTACCTCTAGCAGGACTGCAGGAGTCATATGGATGGACATTATTCTCTAAACCCTCATAATCATTATCACTATCTGAATATGAAACTGTAACACAATATCGCAATTTTTATGTTTAATTTATAATACAATAGTTTTGACAATGCAGTGAATAGTTCACCCAAAATTGAAAGATGACAATAAAACTTTACAGAAGTATAGGGTACTAAGAATTCCAAAGAAATACTCCATAGGCAGGAAATTATTGACTGAAAAATTAGAATATAATCCGTAGTCAAATAAAGTTTACAGTTACCTGCAGACGAAGTATCATCATCAGCTCCATCTTCTTGAATAGAACGAACGTCTTTCAAATCAATTGTTATCTCTGGAATATGTTCAATCTCAAACCAGCCTTCACCTCCCTTCATGCATTTCTTTTTCAACAAAGGACAAGCATCTATTTCAAGAGTTTCTAGCGACTTTGACAATGCTGGTCCATCTGACAGAGATTTTAGCACTTTGCAGTGGCTTATTTCTAGATGCTTCAAGGAGCGGAGATGTGGAAGAAACAGAAGCACACTCAGCTTGGGGCATTGCTTTACAATAAGCTTCGAAAGAAGTGGAAAATCATCATAAGTTACTCTTATCCAAGAGTCTAATTGAGGCATGCCATCAATTAGTAGCGTCTCCAATTTAGGAAAGCTGACAATACCATCCTTAGCATGAACCAAACGATTGATGTCTGTCAATTTGTACATTAAAGTAATCTTCAAATACTTGAGATTTGGTAACTCCCCTAATCTAATTTGAAGCTCTTTTATTGCACACTTGAGGAGGGTTATACTAACAAGCCTCTCATACTCTGGAGAGCCCATCCAAGCTGGTAAATTTAAGCCGGGATAATATAACACCTGCAACTCTTCCAAACATAAGTTTGGCTTAAGATAATGAGTAGTCCAATACATGCAGCGTAGATCTTGTACACTGTATGATTTGAAGTCATTCCATCTTAGTTGTAACTGAGTAAGATATTTTTTATCAGATAAAGTTGTTTCCCGGGCCTCGCGCTGAGTCACATTTTCCAACCCAGAGATACAAAAACTTCCTTTAAGGTTATTCATGTGCTGGAGTTCTCTAATGCTACAACCCTCTCCTGAGTCTACAATGAATGCTGATAGTGTGCGAAGCTCAGTAAGAGCTCCTATACCTTTGGGCATGATTGTTAGTTGGCCCAAAACATCAAAATATAAATAGCGAAGGCCAACAAGCTCTTTCATTCCATCCGGAAGGATGTATAAATGCCTACACCATTCAAGTTTCAAGGTTTGCAGTTGATGAAGTCGATCAATGGACTCAGGTAAACTCTCAATTAGTGTAAATGAAAGATCAAGGTAACTTAATTGTATTAGATTACCTATAGAACTTGGCAGCTCAGTTATATGACTTCCACTCAAATCAAGTGCCTGTATGGACTTTAGAGCTAAAAACAAATCTGATGGTATTTGTTTGAGAGAAGAGTCATAATCGCGAACCAATAAAAGTGTCCTCACTTCATTGAAAGTCTTTAGTGTCTCAAACGTTCCTTGATCAATGTGATTAGACACTATTGAGACATGCCAAAACTTAGATCCAATAACATATGCATTTTCATCTTCTAACATGGCACGCAAATCCTTATTTTGGATTGTTAGCATCCCATTTAGAAGAGTGGTGACCTTGTCATAATTAACTTTGTACTTACTTTTTGCAGTCAAAATATCAACTCTTGCTGGTAAGATGTATTGTCCCTCTAAAAGAGCATCAAATTTTAAGTTTCCAGCATCTTCCGTGTGCTTATCTCTTAAAAACCCCACAGCCATCCATAACTGGACTAATGTCTCTCTCTCAAATTCATAGTCATCGGGGAAGAGACAACAATGGAGCTTTGTCATCTCTCGTCCAGGGCTAACAATAGTTTTCATCCTCATTATTGCTTTGAAAACCAATGCTAGGGTGCGCCAATGATTATGATTAATCAGCAGTCCTACAACAATAGATAGTCATTATTTGTCCAAGTTTACATAGTTTAGCTAGTTTATTACCAATTATGAACAAGGTTGTTTACAAAGTGTTAGGAAAACCGCAACTTACATACTACATTTGTTAATCTACAAGAATAAACTTGAAATGAACATAAAAGATGTCAACACTTGGGTAATTGTACATGTTGTTCTATTCATTCGTGATTTCACTACGAAACAGTGCCGGGGTTAAAATTGCAAATTATTTATGGGGCCCTGTTCAACTTTTTAAAATGGGGCCTTTTTCTGCTCCCCCAATCCCACCCACAAAATTCAACAAAAAAAAGTTAATAAAAATCAGAAAAATGCAATTAAATTAAACAACAAGAAATAATTCAACATACCCAGATATTAAAATTTAACAAAAAGTCGTACCGGGATGAATCCGAAGAGGTTTGTGATGAATTTTTTTCCGATTACTAGCTATAGCCTATACTCACAATAGTTGAAAAGAACTTTGGATTTAAGATTATCTTAAAGATTTCTTTTTTATTTGTAAAATTGAAAGAGTAAATAAAATGCATATATAGGAAAAATTGGGAGATTAACAATGGTTTAATAATTAATTTCATCTTCAAATTGAAGATTTAACCGTTGAAATTATGAACTAATATAGGGAAAAATAATTTTGGGAGATGAAAAATTTTGAAAACTGATTGAATAATTGAAGAAAATGAAGAAGATAATAAAAGAAAGTAAATGAAAAATATAGAGTTTAGAAGATAAAGAGTTTTTTGGAATTGAATTAGTAGATTGAAAAATTTTGGGGAAAAAAGAAATCTGATTTTTTGGGTGGAGCTTTTGGAAGACTACTGACTACATTCAATGAATTTGAGGAAATCGAAGCCAGCTGTCAGCTCCCCAAGAAATTAGAAAATTGTTTGATGCATGTCTCAAACCCAAAACCTTGTATACACAAGGCAATTGATCTAACCACTACATCAACTGCAATTTCAGGATATTATGCCAAACTTAATTATATATATCTAAATTTTGGGGCCCCTCAAATTTGGGGGCCCTGTTCCGTCAACCACCTTGCTCCGGCCCAGAACCACCACTGCTACGAAATATGGATCACTCTGATGCAAGTGCGAGGCTATTGAAGCATTAGGCTCCTGGTTGACATTGCAGATATGTCAAAGGCAAGCACATATATATAAAAAATGTAAGCACTTTCTTATCTACACATTTTATGATACTAGGGTGGCTATTAGATGACTAATGTGCACGCCATACATAGTCATGTCACCAGATCTCTTTTAGTTTGGCATGTTACAACTATAATTGTTGGTAGCTGGATGGGGAAAATTATGTAAACAAATATTTTAGCAGTATATAGACAATAACATTTTAATTAAGGATAACAAAAAAGTAAATAAACATTTTAGAGAATATAATTGTCCAAATAATATTGATAAAACTATAAAAGTTATTTCAAAGTATGAATGACTGTCGTTCCGAAAAAAAAAAATCCTTAGTGGTTTGTACTCTAATTTTTTTATCATTTCAATTATATCTTAAATAACAATTCCTGTCCAAAAAAAAAAAAAAAAAAAAAAAAACATAACCAATTTAAAATGTTGAATTCTTAGCTTTAAATGTAGAATAGTTAATTTTTGGAACATTTGAAAAAAAAAAACCTTTTAAACAATTTTTGGTAAATAAAAAATAGGAAATTTTTCTCATAAAAAAAAAGGAAATTTTATCAGAAAAAAAAAATTGTTAACCATTTTTGGCAAATATGGAGTAAAAAATAGGATATTTTATCAGGAATTTTTTTTAAAAGTTAAAACTTCAACTTAGAGCACACCCAGTGGATAACCACATTATTTGGTTATCATGAGAGAGAAAGTGGAAAAATAATTAAAAAAATGAGAAGAGAGAAAATTTTGTGGAAAAATTGTAGTAACCAGGTTACAACAATAACTGGTTATCAACATTGGGTTATAGATTAAAATAATCTACTTTTTGCTTTTAATATTTGTCCTTGGTGGGGTTGATTTAAATTAGGAGAGAGAAAGAGAGAAATTGTGGGGTTGAGATTGGGTAAAAGTAGGAGAGAGAAAATAAAAAATCAAAAAGTTATGGTTAACTATTGGGATATATTGGTTATTAAATGGGTATAAAAGTGGTTATAGGTGAGGTGGAAGATGGAGAAATTAATAAAATAAGGGTAATGCTATACGTATCCCTAAAGGCTATATATAAGCATTAAATATACTATTGGAAATTGTATAAAATTAGGAATTCATGACAAAAACACTCGTAAATCAGTGTAAATAATGTTTATATTTTGATGATTTCTTAACTTTTTACGATTTTCAAGTGTAAATTTAATGCTTATATGTAGCCTTAAGGGCTATGTATAGCATTTTCCATAAAATAAATAATAACCAAAAGATTGTGGTTAACCATTGTGTTTGCTCTTAGTTTTTCACGTTTTTCGGCATTGACTTGATATTTATCTTTCTTCTCCATCATCGCCTCCATTGTCCACTCCTCCCACCACTCTTCTCTCTCCTGAATCTCATCCCTTCAATTTTCACAAAATGGTGTTTTTTAAAATTTTTCTATGATTTTTCCTTAATTTGTGTCCTAATCAACATATGTGGTCTGTTATCAATAATAATTAGTTCACCAAAAAAAAATTAAAATAATACTTTGTACTACATTCTCTCAATAACCATGTCAGCATGAGCAATTGAATTGAGAAAAAAACTAAAATGAACTTGCCTGACTTGGTGAAAACTTGTAGATTTGTCCATCAAGATAAACTTTTAAGAGTGCTCTTGTCCCTGTGTAATTCAAGAATATTAGGCCCTTGCTGTTTTTTTAAAAGTGCTCTTTAGCTTTTTTTACTCTTACCAGCATAAATAAATAAAAAATAAAAAAAGACAAACAACATTGTTTTTTTACTGTCAAAAGTTCTAAACTTCTATTTTACCACAAAAAAATGTTTTTACCACCTATTATAAAAAAAAGGTAAATTTAACAATTTTTTTTTTAAATTTTCAATTTTCGTGCCAAAACATGCACTTTAGAGGGTTTGTGGGGGCGTTTTAGTCCTTTGAAATCAATTTAAGGTCAAAATAAGCATAAATGGCTAGTTTTTTTCAACTTAAAAAATACCTCAATTTGCATAATACACGTATAATGATAGAGTATAATACATATTCTTGAGACTCAACCATCAGCGTGAAATAAAGGTTATGGGTTCAAATCTCATCTACCCCCACTTTCAAGTGGAATATGGAGCGCTGGGTATGAGGAGGGCCCATGCTGCATCCACACTTCTAGCCCAAACGGGCTCTCGTGTAAGGGGGCGTGATAGAGTATAACACATATTCCCGGGTCTCAACCATCAGCTTAAGCTTTTAGTTGAGATGGTCCTCTAACATAGAACAAGGCATTTTTTTTTTACAATTCTAACCTCAAATAGGATTCAAAGGGCCAAAATGCCCCCCTATAAGAATTTTTTTTAAAACCTGTTTGAATTTTTTGACGGTGTTAAAATAAAAGGTTTATAAGTTTTTAGAATTTTTTGTGGTAAAATAGAAGGTTTATAGGTTTTGATAGTATAATAGTTTTAAGAATTTTTTTTGGTGGTAAAAAAAGTTTATAAGTTTTGATGGTAAAAAACTTCTTTTTTTTTTAGGTAAAAGTAAAAAAAAATCCTATAATATTATATTTTTATTACAGTCACAATTTTGAGAAAGTCTTAATACATCACCGTTAGACACGATTAAATTGCATATGTAGTAATAGCCTTTTATACTACTGGAAGTCCTAATAGTATTACTGAGATGTTTTTTTTAAGTACTACTAAGAGTATCTTTTATACTATTGGAACTGTCTGGGAGCATATATAATACTACTGAGAATGTTCAGTAGTACGTACTATCAAGTAGTACTATATTGCCTCTTAATAGTACTCTCAAATGTCATTATATACAAAATTGCTATTGTAATATATATGTTTATGTCTAACAGTGATGTATTAGCACTTCCTCGATCTATAATTTTAAACATTATATTAGTCAAAATGTAACTATAGAAAAGTGATGGAGAGAGTCCTTCCATGTAATCATGATCATCTATAACAAACAAAAACTCCAATAGATGAATAAAAAGGAAAAAATTTCAAAAATAATATACGACCTTTGGTTGATCTTAGAGGTAATCAAATCAAAGAGTAAGGCAGGTAGGTTTGGGCAAAGTCAATTCAAGGCAAGTACAAATTCTTGTGTGAACCCTGGTCCATCTAAAAATAGATGGACCATCTCCTAAAAGACACCTCTATACAAATAAAATACAACTCTATTCTACTCAAATCATTCTTCTTCCTGCATCTTTACATCTTATTCTTCATTTTTTTTGTTAATTTTTTGTTCCTTATATACAAAATCTATCTCTCTCTTTTCTTAAAAAAAAAAACAAAATCCGATCTCTTTTTATTTCTTTCTCGATTTTAATTCATTCCTGTTTTTTTCAAATTCATATTTTCTCTCTCCTCTATTCTTTGATTTTTTTTCCATTAATTTTTTCCATTAAATTTCTACATTTAACGTGATGGAAATTGTCGATATTCCTAGATCAATCTAGGTTAGTTATTATGAATTTTTTTAATCATCAATGAATTTGTGGATGAAATTATTGCTTAATATCAATTGAATTTGTTAAAACTAATCTGATCGATTTCAATCGTAATCCATTATGATCGATTTATTGATTTTTTTTTATTGTTGTCATTAATTTGAACGATTAATTTAGTTAAAAAAAATTGGACATTGCAAATTTTAACATTTAGTAAAAAAATATCCGAACTGAACATCGAAAATTTTGAACAGTTAGTAAAAATATCTAAACAATCGCAATGTATCACGTTTATACTTTTGAACATTTAGTAAAAAAAAAATAAAAAAAAAAAAAACTGAGCAATTGCTAATATGAACATTTAGTAAAAAAAAAAAAATCTGAACTGAACATTGAAAATTTTGAACATTTAGTAAAAATATCTAAACAATCGCGATGTACTACGCCTATACTTTTGAACATTTATTAAAAAAATTTGAACGATTACAAATTTTGTACATTTAGTAAAAAAAATCCGAACTGAACATTAAAATTTTTGAACATTTAGTAAAAGTATCTGAACAATCACAATGTACCACGCCTATACTTTTGAATATTTAGTAAAAAAAATCTGAATGATTGCAAATTTTGAACATATGGTAAAAAAATCTGAACTGAATATCAAATTTTTTGAACATTTAGTAAAAGTACCTGAACAATCGCATTGTAACACACCTATACTGTTGAACATTTAGTAAAAAATATGAACGATTGCAAATTTTGAACATTTGGTAAAAAAAAAAAATCCGAACTGAACATCGAAAGTTTTGAACATTTAGTAAATATATTTAAAAAAAATTGCAATGTACTACGCCTATACTTCTGTACATTTGATAAAAAATCTGAACGATTGCAAATTTTGAATATTTAGTAGTATAAATCCGAACTGAACATCGAAAATTTTGAACATTTATTAAAAATATATGAACAATCGTAATATATTACGCCTTTACTTTTGAACATTTAGTTAAAAAATCTGAACAATTTCAAATTTTAATTTGAAGTTTTAGTAAAAAAATCTGAACATCGCAAATTTTGAACATTTAGTAAAAATATCAGAACAATCGCAATGTACCACTGCACGCTTTGAAATCGATCGGATTAGCTTCAACAATTCATCTTCATCACTACTTGTAGAATAATTTGTCAAACAAAATGTGAAAATTTTTTAGAAATTATACACAAATTACCAAAATTTAAATAATTTAAACAAATTACAACAAGTTCGAAGGAATCAATTAGCGAATTTACAGAAATATAAAGAAATTTTAAGTTGTTCAAATATTTAATTACCTTATGGACCTTTTTCCTGTTTTCTTCCATGGAAATTTGTCAATTGCAGAGGAGAGAGATAAGTATTGAGCAATTGAAAAATGAAATGAAAGTAATTGCAGAGGGGAGAGATATGTTTGTTGGAGCAAAATAACAAAAAGAAATAAAATAAAGAAATTTTGAGAGTGTTTGGACCGCAAGATTTGAGGTTTGTAGGAGCCAGTGGTCCAGACAAGGTCTACAATAGACTTATTGGAAAAATTAGCCCGCATGCTCGGGCTAGGTCGAGCCAAATTTTAGGCCGAAAATTGCTTGTCTAAACTCGTAAAATAAGCCGGATTAGGCTTTTTCGAGCCAGTCCAAAAAAATTAACAAAAAAACTTAAAAAATGTATGCCTAAGCCAGCGAGAAAAATTGAAAATTTTCAAGCTAAAAACTTATTCTTAAAGCCCACCCAAATTCGATTTGGGCCCTTGGGCTATGTTGAGTTTGATCACCTCAGCCTCCAAATATCACAATCATCTAATCATAACAAACAACTGCTAGAATAAATAAAAGAAAACATTAGTTTTATTAATCCCAACTTTGAAAGGCATTTTCTTTTAACATGTCAAATGATCGTTGACCTGTTGAAAGTGATTTTTTTTTTTTAAAATGATATGTGTTTGATAAAAAAAAAAATCAATAAAAACCAACACCCACCCCATGAGTTCACCGGTTGACCACCTCCCCTTACCCTACGTTGGTGCCTAACCCCAACCAACATCCACCAGACCCCAGCACATGGGGGAGGGGTTTTCTTGGTGGTTGCGTGGGGAATGGAAAGGGGGATGGTGGTTCAGATGGAAGGGGAAGAGGCGACGACGCCACAAGCCTATAACCATAGATTTAATAAGTTTAGACAAAGAAAATGGAACTTGAATAATGTAATGCCACAAGCATATAACCATATATTTTCTACAATTCTTTTTAGATGCATCACTTTCTAAATAAGGAAAGTTCAATTTAGATACATCACTTTTTAAATAAAGAAGTTTCAATTTATTACGTGCATCACTTTCTTTTATAATTAATTAATTATCTCTATCCTTCTCTTATCACATGGGCCCTATTTTCTCTCTACATATCTCTACTTCAAAAGTTGTCTAAGAATCTACGAATACCAAAATGATGCACTAAAAAAATGGAAGTAAAAGATGTTTATTTACCTTTTGATTCTGAACTAGATTTAGACGAGGATTTGTTTGTTTTAGCATGACCATTAGAAATGCTTTTCTTGAAGAAAGATTGAATAGCACTAAACTTCTCCTCTTGAAAAAGAGTCGCATACTTAGTTTATTGTCAAACTAATAAGGTAATACTTATTTTGTCCAATAATAATTGTCACAGACTCACAGTCAAATACTCCCTCCGTCTCCGAATGATAGTCACTATTTTCATTTTTGGACACCCAAAATGTTAGTCACATTTCACAATTTTAGGTCCCATACAATAACACAAAATGACTTATATACCCTCATTTTTTTTTGCTGCATTATCTGTGCTTTCCAAAATACCCTCATATTTGCTTTTGTACTTATGCCTTAATTGAATGAGTTGTCTCCCTTTTGAATGACAATTAGTTTCTCTCTCTTCTTTTTGTTTTGCACATGATTGGATTTTAGTTTCCATGTACTTTATTTATTTCTCCTTAATTCCCGTGATTTTCACCCAAAAGTGACTATCATTCGGGGACGGAGGGAGTATAACACATATACTAGTTTTGGCCTTGTGCAATGCACGGATTTATAAAATATGATGCAATAATAGTCAATTGAAATTAAATGACTTATGTAACAATTTTTTTTTAAAATTTAAATTTATTAATGTCTATCCTTTAAATTTTTTTAACCGTTTTTTTTTTTTAAAAAAAAGTAGAGCATTTTGAAGGAAATTAGTCTGGTCAAGTAGGAGACTCGCCCCATCCCCGCCCCAGGATAGGTCTCGGTTTGGTGGGTGGTGGGGCGAGGATGGGGATGAAAATCATACCCGTCATGGGTGATGGGGTGGGGGTGGATTTTAGGTTGTACCCGTCCCACTTCGTACCCGCTCTATCCCCATCTTATACACACATCTATATATATTTCAAAATAAAATTCTATACTTTTATACTATTTTATAAAATATTTGTGTAAAATAAAATATTAATTATAATACTTTGTAATACACTTGTATTATAAACAAAAAATGTGTAATATTTAGATTTTTTTTAATGTAATCTATATTAATTATATAAGATTGTGTATTTGAAAGGTGGAGGTTAGGTGGGTCTTGGGTGGGGATTAGGCGGGGTTTAGGTAGGGATGGATATCCAAGTGGGGGGTGGGGCGGGGATGGTTTTGGAATTGTACTCGCCGGGGCAGGGATGGGGATGAATTTTAGACCCGCCGCGGGGATGAGGATGAGGATGAAAATGTTAGGTGGAGATGAGGATGGGAATGCCAACACCTGTCCCGCCCCATTGACATCCCTATAGATAGATAAGACCAAGTTTGATCAAATTTGCACATTTTTGCAGTTCAAAAAAAATGCACATTCAGTTTTAAAAAAAAATCACATTTCATCCTTATTAAAAGAAACGTCTTATTATACTTTTTTTTATATAATAATTTGTGGTACTCCGTTATTTGTGAATTTATTTTAATGACAATTATAATTATTAATTCTGAAATAAAGTATAAATATACGGAGTAATATGTTATTAGTCGAAGTAATACCTTTTCTATTTTTTATTTGGTGCATCAGAATTCTTTTGAAAAACTAAAAAAATTAATAATTATATGTAAATAATGAAAAAAAAAAAAATTGTGAATTTTTTGTACCTGAATATTGGAGAACCATGTGGGTCTTCCATTGAAGTTTGGGCAATTTCTGACATCGAGTAAGCTGAGGTTAGGAAGTGAGTAGAGTGCGTTATAAGGTATAGATCGCAAATTCGGACAATTATAGATGTATAATTCCTGAAGAGATCTAAGGTATTTCAAACTTTCTAGCTGTTGTAGCTGTGGACAATCTGCAATCATGAAATACTCAAGAACCTTGGCGAATTGAACCCAGTCAGGCAACCGAACCATTGGAAGACCTACTAGTTCCAATCTTTTGAGAAAGGAAAAATATTCTTCCCTGTTTCTCTTAATAAATCTTACTGTAGGTTCCGGTCCTGCTATGTGTTCCTTTCCAAAGTCTAGAACTAGACTAGCACAATTATGCAGAACCAATTCCTCAAAGTAATTGATATGAAGTGTTTTAAGGCTTGGGCAGTCAAATATGCGCAATTTTCTCACTACTACATGATATTCAATTTCGATCAAATGCACACAGTGAGAGAGTTCTAATAACATTATTTGGGGGGAACGAGAAGGCAAAGATGATTGCCGGGATGTCAAGTATAAATTACTCAAATTCCTTGGTAATCTTAAACCCTCGACATTTTCCAATCGAACACATCCATGAATATCTAATGTCTCCACGAGCGGAAAGAACTCAAAAGAAAAGCTTTCGAGAAGAACATTCCCTGACAAGGAAGATAGATGGATAGGTGGAAGCTTCTTAAATTGGCATCCAGATAAGTCCAATACACAAAGCCGTCTTATATTATCCAATCTTACAATTTGACCTGCAGATCCGCCAAAAAATGCATCCCAGTGACTAGAGAACATCAATAATGAAGTAGTGTTTTTAAAATTCTGGATCACCTTTTCCAGGTTAACCCGTGAAAACCCGTTCTTGCGGAATGCTACATGCTTAGTCCGTTGTCTAACAACTGCAGAAGAGGAACCATCAGTAGTACGTGTATTGAACACGGCTACCTCTTCAGCTGCAAGGCGGCGTGCTGCGTCATGGACGACAGGGCTCATCTCGCAGCTGTATACGCTTCTGCTGTTTCCATTACCAAAAACAGACACGGGCTTTTCAAATATCCCTCTGGAAAGCAGCTCTTCAAAATGCCGCTTTCCGATATCTGCGGGACTGAGATACAGAGCCATCCACATATAGACCAGAGTTTCTCTGACAAATCTATGACCTTTAGGATAAATTGAGCAATACACAACTAATCTAAAAAGATGGGGCGGAAGTCGTTCAACATTTTCAGGCAACTCAAACTCTGTAATTTCACTAGGATCAGAACAACTTTTAAACAGTGGCGCCAAGCGTGAGATAACCAACCTCAGCTCCTCAAACCTCTTCTCTTCTTCTACATCGTCTTCAAAAATTAAAGAACTCTCATCAAAATGAAGATCCAGTAAATTATCTACCCTGCGAACAGAGTACTCGAGATCATCATCAGTGGATAAAGATAAATCGGGGGTGCGGCTAGGGTCAAGCAGAAGGGGCAGTGCATCTTTCAGTTTTGTAAGATCATTTTCCAAATCTGGTGGGAATTTGCATTTTGAAAGATTAGAGGGTTCCAGTTTATGGAGGAGAGATGCAACAACATCAGAGAGTGGAGGGTTGTCCATCATCTCACAAACAAGACGATGAAAAAACACAAATGAAATTTATTGGCAGAGGTATATGCTTATATTCTTTCTTCAATACAAATCCATGTCCATAGGGATTGGATCATTGGATAAGTAATTACATTTTAAGATTTTATCGATGATTATTACTCCAAATAAATTACTCTCTCCATATGACATACTTTTTTTTTTTTAATAAATTACTCTCTCTGGACTAGAATAATTCACTATTTATATAGCTACTTTAACTATAGTTCTTTTATAAACGTAGTAAATATACGAAGTATGATTTTACAAATATTAATATAAGGTTTTACAAGTCACTTTGGTGTGTGATGACTACACCGTGTGGCTAGGTAACACACGGGGTAACCCCTTGAGCTCCTGACTGACCGAATAATCCATGATCGAGTGAGTATCCCCTAACCAAGTAACCTCATTCATTTTTTAAAAAAGAATATGTGGCTGGTCATACGATGTGGCCAGCTACATTGCCTATATATATGAAAGTTTGTGTTTACAATAATATTTTTTTAAAAAAAAATTAATTTTAATTAGTATTTAATTATATAAAAATTAGGTCAAACTATTACATTAGCATGTATGCAAAGTTTGACTATTTTAATTAAGCTGGATAGAAGGATATAAAAAGTTGATATTTATAAAATGCACAATTACACATTGAAATGCTTCTAATAGATATTTACATTACTATGAAGTATGTATTTCTTTCTATAAACATTAATATTAATCAATATGAATTATGTGAATTATTTTAAAAGTCCAACTAAGACAATTTATTTTATTTTATTTTAAAAAAAGGGTTTTAGTTTTATATCACTCTATGTTTCACTTTATTTAAACATTATTCCTTAATAAATAAGGGCATGTTCACTTCGGCTTAATTTCAGTTCAGTTCAGCTTAGCTTCAATCAGTTCAGTTCAACTTCAATCAGCTCAGTCCAGCTCCTAATTTTTCTTTTATCATAAAATTTTCATTTCATCTCTATTCAGTTCAACTTAATAAATGTGAAAAAGCCCTAAGGTTTAAATTTTTTTTAAAAAATAATAATTAAATTTGGCAAATTGAAACTGCAAATGATTCATGTTGTTCATTACGGAGTAAAATGTTTCGACTTCCTTAAATTATGCCAAAAGTTGTAGCACTTGTACGTTAATGTTATTAAAACCAAATGAACTAATACAGTTTCTTACTCTTTTCATCTTATTACCTCAAAAAACAACTCATCAATCAGATATTCACTCTAAAAGAATGACGACCAGTCGTCAATTAAGATAAGGTTTATGATTTTCTCAAAAAAAAAAAAAAAAAAAAAAAAGATAAGGTTTATGATAAGTTGAGAGGCAAAATCAAATAGCGAGTTGGAGTCAAGGGATGTGGATGCCGGATATGGGTCATGTACTCATGTGACACTGATAAAATTTAAATCGACACCAGAAATTTAGAGATTGTTCTTTTAGACTTTTCTGCATATTTTCAGTTTATTACAGCTTGTCTTAAGACCACTCTCATTCACGAGGGAAAATAAAAAATGTCATTATGTCTCTACCCACTTTCTCATTCTTCTTTTCCATTTTTTCTCATAAGCATTTTATTTTTAGAACTTCTCACACACTCATGGGCTAAAATAAAACCCCACACCACTCTCTCTCTCTCCTACCCACACACTCATGGTTCTTTGTTTCTATTTTCAAGCTTTGTTTTTCTTTTTTTTTTTTCAATTTATCATGCATGGCCCACTATTACTGTAGCATTTCATTTTGCCATTGCTGTGGGCAAATGCCCAATTCCTCATGGTTATTTTTTTAATGCCCATGAATGTGGTACTAAAATACTCATTTTTTTTTCACATAATTCTCCTCATGGGCAAAAATATGCCCATGAGTGAGAGTGCTCTAAGAGCATTTACATTGGTTGAAAATTTAGCTTCTCATTTGACAAAAAGTAAAAGTAGAAAGCTTAAAGCGATAGTTAAGTCTAGGAATATGTTTTATACTCTATCACTCTCCCTCACATGAAAGGTCATTTGGGTTTGAAATGTAGATGCAACACATCCACTTTGGAGGAGGGGTGAATGAGATTCGATCCTGCGTGTTAGTTTAGATGAACTACTACGAGAGGGGGGTGAATGGTAGTAGGTTCCAATCGCGGAACTTATGCGGAAATAAACAATAAAAACATAAAGAAACTTAAAGCACACAACAAGTTTTACGAGGAAACTATCCAGTGCCTAACTGGAAGTAAAACCTCGGCCCTATTGGGACTTATAAACAAATTCCACTATAATAGGCAACTCTCCTAGTACAACCTATTACACAGACCTTTGCTTCGCAAGTTCCTCCTAAGACACTTGCTAACTGATAAGAACCTATCCTATCATACCTAAGACAAACTTAGGCACCTTTTTCGACCTAAGACACACTCAGGTTCCTTTCTCGACGTAAGACACACTCAGGTTCCTTTTTCCCACTGTGCAACCCAAGACACACTCGGGGTGACTGACTACCACTCGAATTTTAGAGAATTCAAACTCATACACTCAAACGTGAATTTAAGAGAATTCACAATCTCACCCCAAAACCAATTACAACGCAAAGACACACTCTAACACATAAATGGAAAGCTACACATGAAACTCGAAATCAAAATGATAAAGCTTAAACCTTTGGCGAACTTACTCTTAAGCACTAAGTGGTTTTCACGCTTAAAAACTCTCATTTTGCTAAGCTGAAGTACTTCTATATTTATAGGAGTTTCTCAGTTACACAAAATAGGATTTTCACAAACAAGATAAATCAAACAGAAATTTAATCTTATATTCTTTAAAATCGAAATCAAAACAGATTTAATTTCGCTTTATCTGAAAACCAATTTTATCAAATTCATTTTAACTAAAAGATAGAATTTTATGAAAAAGATAAAACCAAGTTAAATCAGATTTTATAAGATAAAATCAATTAAGTACTTTTTCATAAAACTAAAATTATCTTTTACGAATTAATCAGCTTGTCAAGCTTTATCTGATTTCTAATAAGTTCCATGCATAGCAACCATTAATATGCTTAATCAACCTACAAAAACAAACTTATCTTTTATACAACTATAAGTTACGAAGTCATCTTTTTCGGTTGATATCTCGATCTTTGCACTAATCCTTGGTTATTGAGGCTTGCCCCAGCATTACACCGGAAACAGGTCTTTACAACCCGTTTTGAAGTTCCTGTTGAGAAATTTCGGGAAGTTCCTGTTGAGAAATTTCGAGAAGTTCCATTGCTGGAACTCTTCTTCTGTCTTTTACTTATTCTCATGGATCTTCTAAAGTTCCTTTGTCCTAGTTCCTACTTCAGCCCTCTACGCCTACTGAACATGCAAACATCACAACACTAGAAAATCCATATTAAAAGGAAGTTTTCTCAATTCTTAACATCATCATCAAAACCTCATAAGGGTCAACACTGTGACATTTGTATCACACTGGCTCTAATACCATGTTAGAGGACCAATCAACTAAAAATTCAAGCTGATAGTTAAGGCCCAAGAATATGTTTTATACTCTATTACTTTCTAATATCAAAGAGTGGGGTCCTTTTTTGTTTTTGTCTCCCACTATCATCAAGCAATGTAACAATGTCATTTTCTTTTTTTTATAAAAAAAAAATTAGAAAAGGTGGTGGGGTATGGAAAAATAGGAGATGGAAAGTAAATGGAGAGGTTAATGAATGTAGGCATGAAAATGTAAAATGGGAAGGGTATGTGAAGAAGTTAGTGGAAAGTGATATAGACTAATGAGGTGAGGAGAGAGAAACTATGGGGAGCCTAATAAATGTGGATGCTCTTTAAGTTGTTTCAGTTAAGTTTAGTTCAAGTTAATGATCAGTTCATTATTTGATCTATAATTATATATAATTATAAATTTTTGGTTGATAAGTATTATAATCAATTAACCACATATTAGTCGAGGAATAATAAAAGTATGTGATAGGTTGATTTGACATTTGTCTTTTTTAATTGTAGCTTTCGATACATAACTAAAACAAAAGTAGGCAAAGTATATGGACAATCTTTGTTCTTATTATAAAACTGGTCCCAATTAAATTATTTTAATAATACAATTTTTTATTTATAACTATCCAAAATTTTAGTAGAAAGATTTGTAAAATCTTTTTATTTATTTATTTTTGACAGGAAGAAGAATATTATCATTAATATATAGTCATACGATATCTACTGATCTACAATCAATATTAGCTTCCCAACAAACCTTATTTACACAATATTTTAACAAATTTGATGTCATAAAAAGTTGGGGTGAGCATGGGACGGGTACCCGTACTGTTAGTACTAACGGTTCGGGTACCCGATACCCAAAATCTCTAAAAGTGATATCCATATCCCGAATCGATAAGTTCGGGTGCCCGGACTTCGAATCGGTTATTGGGTACCCAATAAGATATCAAATAATGATAATTAAACTTAATTATGTAGTTATTATAATATAATTAACAACAATATCATATAATTTTGACCAAATTATTAATAATATTACGAATAATTTATATTATAAAATAATTATATAGTAAAGTAAGAGTTTAGATTTTTTAAAAAAAAATAGATTTAAATAGGGGAAAAAGGCAAAAAAATGCTTATCGGAACAGATCGGGTAACCGTTAATTTTAAAATGATATTCAATAACCATACCCGATAACAAATTATCGGAACGGGTACCCGAACCGTTATGATTATCGGATCGGGTACCCTAATTTTCTGAACGGTTACGGATCGGTTTTTCGGGTTTTCGGTTTTTCGGGTAGTTTTGCTCACCCCTAATAAAAAGTTAAGGTAATTTGATGGTCATTATGAAACAGTACAAATATTAAAAAACACCCGGTGTACAATAGCATTATTGTAAATCGGTTCAAATAAAGTAAGTTATCATCTAAGTGTTTGCGTGAACTGTTAAACATCGCCCGCAAATTCCTACATAAAGCCCACAAAATAAGAGTGAAATGACACTTTTGCCCTCATACTAAAAAACACACAATTTCTCTCTCTACTCTCTACTTCCACTTTCTCTCTCTAAATTATTTCCAGAGCTATGTCGAGGCGGCCCGGCAAGGAAGTGGCGGCACCGGCGGTGGGCGGAAGGCGGTTTGCCGGCCAGAAGGTAATTTTTTTAATTTTTGTAATTTTTTTTTTAAAAAAAAAAACCTCCGGCGACGGTGGGGCGCCAAGGCGAGACGCCACCACCACGGAGGAAGCGCCTAGGCAAGACGC